GAAGCCAGACCTTCTAACCTGCAGGTACAGTCAAGAATCACCAGTTCTATTCCTCTCTGTTGTGTTCCTTCTCTTTCCAGCATAGCAGCAGCTCAGGAAGAGGATTTTGGTCCTCGTGGCCTGACTACTAACTTGTAATTTTTTTTCTTTTATTTTGCTAGAAACAAGCTTCTTAGCTCAGCTGCCCTGTGAAATGCTTACCCCACTGGCCTGTTGGCACTGGCAATGGCATCCTGTTAACTGAAAGATGACCAGGTAGAGAACCTTTTATCTGCAGAATGAGCAGCAGCAGCAGTTCCCTACCACCTGGTTTATTCAAGTGCTGGTTTACTGTGTACTCTATTTTACACAGGAATAAGAATAACACAGCAGAGAGTTGAGTTCAGTGGGTTCCTAACATGGTTTCTGTAGGTCTTTAATAACATAAAAAAATAGGTGATGGGAGCTTCCTCTGGACAGTGTCAACTGGCTACATCTCAGTGAATGCCTGTCACCCTGTGCTTTCTCCTAGAGGAAACAATATCAGACTGGTACTTACCAGTAATTTGAGATTATAAAAACTCCCTTTTCAATAGCTGCAAGAGAAATGTGGGCAACTCAAAAGGGAGAAAGGGTTAAGAGAGATGTTTCCTGATCATCTCCCTCCACCCTTACCCTCAGATGTTCCAAATTGGTCTTAGAGCATCTTTGTCAAAAGCAGGAAGAATCTTATTTTTATTGTCTTTTGTGTGTTGGTGACATAACCAAACAAACCAAAGTGTTTGGGATCAGAAGGAAGAAGATGACTTTGCAAAGTATTTTACTTGTAAGTGTGCCTTGGATTTCACACATGATGGTAAAAAATCCTGGCTGATAGATACAGAGCTGTGACACAGACAAGTTGCGGAGAAAGGCACCTTTGGGACCCAGACAAAATTAAGAGAGAGCAGAGAAAAGAGCTCTTACTTGCCAGAAGAAGCCAAGCTGCAGCAAGGAGAGGGCAGAGTGTGTCTGTGCAAGGCCCTGCAGCTTGCACAGCCCCAGCCCCACGAGCTCTGCCCAGCTGAGGCCGCTTGCGCTGAGCCTGGGCTGTGCAGGGTGAGTGAGGAGCTGCCCAGCACCTCAGCCTGCCCCGAGACACACTCTGCCCTCTCCCTGCTGCAGCTTGGCTTCTTCTGGCAAGTAAGAGCTCTTGTCTCTGTTCTGTCTTAATTTTGTCTTCGTAGAGGGGAGGAAGGTTTGCCAGAAGGTCCATCCTGGTGGGTGCTGGTGAAAAAAAGTGTGGAAAAGCCCAGGTGGTGTCTGCTCCGTTGCTGGCGTTTGCAGAGGCTCCTTGCTTTTCCTGTGCTGGGGCAGGGCTGTGCTTGGGGAAAACAAAGGCTCAGGTCCAGGCTCAGGCAGCAAACCTGTTTTGTTGAAGTCAAGGTCTCCATGCTTGATTAAACCCTGCAGCAGCAGGTTGTGGAGATCTAAGTGTTTGCCAAGGGCTTTGACACAGGAAGCTTTGGAAGGTCCTTTCTGTGTGGTGGTGCTTTGTGTAAAGCACAAATTGTTTGTGCTTGGTGACCCTGCACACCAAAACCTGAGGATGAGCCTGAGCTGTGAGCTCTCCAGCCCTCTCACACCACTGGGTGCTGTGCAAGTGCCAAGCAAAAGAAGGGCTGGATCTCCAGGGATTGTAAACACAAATAAAGGGGTGCTGGAAGATGAAACAAGGGAAATTATTTACCTAAGGGGACAGGAGAGAGCTTCCAGCTTTCTTCACTTTCCCTTTTACTGTCTTATGCCCAGACTATGCTGCTTCCTCAGCAGTCAGCCTGGATGGGCACCTTTGGAGCCGTGTCCGTGTATTAGGCTGGTGAAAGGGTGGCTCTCACCCCTTCTTATGCTCTTAGAAAGAATATTTTTAAAAATGGAAATGCACTTGGGGTGAGTTTTGGGGTATCAGGGAAGAGGGAAGATGGAGATCAGGGCCTGACTTCTCCACTTGCTGTGCAGTACAAGCTGCATGCTTTTAGATTGAGGGGCTGGCATGGTCTGTCCCAGATCAGGGAAAAAAACAATCCCATCCCCAAAAGGGAGCAAGCACTAACCTAATAAAGGCACCAGCTGGACGAAGGGAAAACCATCTCTTTGGAGAAAAAAAAAAAAAAAAAACAAAACCCAACCTCCTTTCTTTAGAAAAATAATATATTTCATCCAAATAAGGTAAAAATATTTGAAATGGGGCAGAAGTGAGCACTAGGCAGCATCTATCAGGCCCTTTCTGAAAAGGGGAAGATTATTAAAACTCAATTACAATTTATTTCTGTAAAGTGTCTTTCAGGCTAAAAATCTCCCCAAATGCTTTGCAGGACTGCTCAGGGATTACTTACAGTATGGAGCCTCCTAGAACAACACCCTGCTTTTTTAGCAGGCCCCCCTTTTCTGCAGCTGCTGAAGGAATTAATCCTTCAGGGTTTTATTTTGTTTCTTCTATGTTTGTGCAAATAATGAGATATGTTTTATGATACTGGCTGCAAGAAGAACCTGAAGAGGAATAGGAGAGTGACACTATATTTTATATTGGTTTAGGTAAAATGCTTGCTTTTCTTTGGGACTGTGTCTGCTGTGTGAGAAGGTGATTGGCTGGGTAGGGCTGATTCAGAGGATCCAGAAGTACAACTGGCTTGTTTGTTGCCTATTTTTCTTTCTCTGGCTGTCACTTGGCCAGGCTGCTTGCCTGTGTCTCGGTCCCCTTGCTTGGCAAAATCCTGCTCGTGCCTCCTGTCACCTTCCCTCATCTCTGCCTCCTCATGCTCTTTCCTTTCCAGCACTTCACAGACTGCTTCCAACTTTGTACCTCTGCTTCTAGAGCTACTGCTGAGGTTTTGTGTAGTACCAGCTGTCTGAAATTAATTTCTTTAACTGATTTAATTAAACCAGAGCAAATTCTGGGGTGGACATTCTTCCATCTCTCTGAGCAGATTTGCTTTACTTAAGCAGTTTCAACTTTGTGCATTCACTAAGGGCTGGATGCTAAATGCTGCAGCTTTCCTGTAGAGATGAATTATTCCTTGCTTTCTGCCCCCTGCACTGTCAACAGCAGGTTCCATCTCTGCAGGCCTGCTTGTCTGCTTACCTGCCTGCTTTTTTGCAGTAATATCAACACTTCCATGGCAGGTTTTGGCTGTGAGGTGGAGCTTGGGACTCCCTCTTGCTTCACAGCCTCTTCTGCTTGCTAGAACAAGCCTGGTGCAGCCTCGAATCCCACTACTGCATCACTTTCTTGTCTCTTTTCCCCTCCCAACTCTAAAAACTGCAGGCAGAACCTGCTGATCTGTGTGGGAAAATGGGGAAGTGTGGGGGATGCCCCAGGCAGGGGGTCCCCCCTGTGCTGTGTGCAGCGACGTGGAGGGGCTGCAGCCGTGCCAGCCCTGGGACCCTCTGCAGAGGCTGTGAGTGGGCACAGCAGGGACACTGGGTGCCTCAGGCCAGAGCTGGACCCCTGTGGGCACAGCTGGCTCTGGCCCAGATGTGACCTGCAGGGATCACCTGGCCACTGATGAAGGCACTGCTTCCCCCCAGGGCTGTCTGACTGGCTCTGGCCACGGACCAAGTGTCTCGGTGTGCCCAGTTCAGCGTGTCAGCTGCAGAGCTCTGGCATTCAGGCAGAGCCTGGCCCTGTCCTGGCATCCCAGCGAGGGTCCCTGGGGCTGTGGCAGCAGCAGGGCTCAGGGCAGGGGCTGCTGGCTGCCACTGCCCTGTGGGGAGGGAGGGAAGGGGGCAGGAACAGCTCTGTCTGCCTGGCAGATAAATCTTCAGCTGTTTACTTAAATCCTCTGTGTTTCTTCATTTGTTTGTTTAAGAGTTTTCCTGCCAAAAAAGAGCAAAAGGAAGAAGGGAAGCTGCCTCTGTTGGCCACCCTTCCTCAGCTAGGAGGGCCTGGGGCACTTCACGGGCAAGAGCAGGACTGGGGCGAGGGCACCCTGCCTTGCTCTGGGAAGATGAAGGGATTGCTTCAGGATGGACCGTGGCATCTCCTGGGCAATGCCTGACCCCTGTGAGGGGAGTGGCTGAGCCCACTTTGGGCTGGATGCTGTCACCCCTTCCAGCACCTCCTGTACCTACAAATGCTCAGGGCCTTTTTCCCTCTTTGCCCTCACCCATTTGGTAGGAATTGTTTGTTGTAGGTAGGAATTGCAGGTTTTGTCACCTTTCAGGTCCTGGTACAATCTGTTCAAGACAGCAGAGACCCAAGAGGTGAGGGCTGGAGCCTTTTGGATTTCCATGTGCCAGCGTCTGCCACAGAGGACTCAAGGCTATTACAGGGATATACTTGAGCTCTCCAAGTGCAACAGCAGCAGCAACTGCCCCGATTTTGTCTTGGCATTAGAACAAGTGACCTTGCCTGGTGTCTGCTGCTCCCCAGGGCTCACCAGGGGCAGGGCTGTGGGTGCAAGACTGCACCACCACCCCCATCACCACCTGCAAGGGCTGCTGCTCCCCAGGGCTCACCAGGGGCAGGGCTGTGGGTGCAAGACTGCACCATCACCACCTGCAAGGAACAAATGCATGGAACAAATGCAAAAACTTTGATTTGTTCAACTTGCAGCTTCTCCCACAGCTCAGTCATTCTTTTATGAAGTCCAGTCAGAGTCCCACTGAGAAAAGGCAGGTTCCAGCAAAGCTTTCCAGCAATGAAATGTTGTTCGTGTCCCCCGTCCCCACCTGGAAACAAGGCCATTTAAATATTCCATGTGCTGTGGGCAGAGCTCCAGTGAGAACAAACCTCTGGGCTCCGGGGCTGGATTAGGAGCATGTTCAGATAATGACATCTGAAAACAGGACGGCTGGGAGCTGCGGCAGAGCAGCGAGGGGCTTTGAAAGAGAGAGGAGTCTAATCCTCTCTGCTGACAGGGAGGCAGCGGGGCACAGAGACCCAGAACATCCTGGCACGGGCCTCAGCACCGAGCTCTCCTGCCCGCTCATTCCTGCACCGCCTCAAGCAAGAAGACAACTCGATCGCTTCAAACTTTGGGGTTTTTTTTCCAGTTTTTATTGAGTGAAAATGTCAAACCTTGCATCAGTCATGCAAAAAAAAAAAAAAAATCAAATAAATAAAACACATATATTAAATTTCTAATAGCACTAAATTCAAGTGGAAAAATATTCAGTTCTTAATAACGCAGGTGCTGAAGAGACCAGATTCAAGTAAATCAGAGCACACCATCCTGTTTAGGGTGTTTTTTTTCACTTTCTGCATTTTTGTCTCAAAACCTATATATATATCTATATATCTATATATATGTATATACATATAGATATATACACACACACATATATATGTGCATACATATTATTTTTATATTTATATATATACACATACATATTTATAAAACATTAAAAAGAGCATTGGTGGTTCAAGCATTTATCTTCCCCCCTCCCCCATGGAAAGAAAAAAAACAACAACAAAACAAAATAAAATTACACATTTAAAATTCAAAATGAGCTAGCAATGGCTTATAGTCCTAGTGTGCAATATGGATATTACAAAAGGCTAGAATCCTCCCTCATTGTCTTTTTTTTTAATTTTTGTTTTTTAAAGTTGTTTTTTTTTGCTACATTGGAAAATTTTTTTTTAAATTTTTTTTTCTTTATAAAATTCCTTCCACGCAGACTTTAATCCAGTTGAGTTTGTGGCTAGAACAAACAATCTAGTCAATAGTTTTTATTTAATTTTTTTGCTCTTCAGCAGTGAATGGTAGCAGAATCAGGAGGGTCCATCTCAAGGTTTATTATTGTTTGGTTTTTATCTTGTTTTGGACAAAACAGTTCCATTTCCTCTCTCCTCTTTCCTCTTCTTATAGAGCCAGTTGAATCTCCCTCTCTTTCTCTGGTCACTCTTTAGACAGTCCCATTGCTACGAGAGCTCGGAATGACAAACCACCTGCTCTGACGGGGTCTGGGCTGTGAGGCCCTTCTTCAGAAAAGCACTTAAGCTCGGGCTTAAACCCGGGCCCACTCAGACTCTTCTGCTTAAGGGTTTTGCCGAATTAAAGCCTGAACATGGCAGAATAAAAAGCGGGTTCAACTTTCTTTCGTTGTTGTTGCAGACAGAGACAGCGCTGGAGTGGCAGGACGGGGAGGCCGCTGTCCTGCGGGCCGGCTCCAGGGCCAGCCCGGGGCTCGCTCAGCCCCAGCTCCCGGGCAAGAGGTGACACAGGTCTGGGACAAGGGCTGAGGTGTCAGGGAGAACTGGGGTGCCTGGGGGGGAAATGGTGTGCATAGATAAAGGTGGGCCCTCCTGGCACACTCAGCCCCCGGGCCCGGCTGGGCACCGCCAGCCCTTGCTCCGCTCGCTGCCGCTGTCCCCGCTGCGGGGCAGAGCTGACACTGTCCTAGGGCACGGACACGAGTGACACGAGTGACACGAGTGACACGAGTGACACGAGTGGCACGAGTGGCCCGGGGGGCCTCGCGCTGCCCCTGGCTCCCAGCAGGGCTCGGCCCTGCTCCACAGTCACTGACAGAGATCCTGTTGATTGTGGCGGCACAGAATAATCACATCTGCTCTGCAAGATGTGGCTCGTGTTAATCTAAGGATTCCTCCTGGAGCCCATCACCATACTATCTAAGTAGCTGAACACAGGGAAAATGTACAAGTACAGAACCTGCAGCAAATGCTAGTGAAGTAAAATCTTTTTGCCCCATCCCATTTTGAGAAATTCCAGGGCATCATTCCATCACTCTGCCCCAGGAACGTGAGCTTCATTCTGTTCGAGAATGGGGCTGTGCTAGGGAACACACAGCTGAGGGTAGGGGATATACCAAACAAAACAAAAACAAACAAACAACAAAAAAACCCCCTATAAAAATAAAAGCCACACAAATAGCTGATAGAGGAAAAGAACTCCAAAGAATTAAATAAACTACAAACTAGTGATAATATTTCATTTGTTTTCATTTGTTTCATCTCTACAAAATTCAAGTTAGAGTTCGGAATCGTGCAGGTCTGGTCAGTGCTGGGAGTGTGAAGTCAGCCTCAAACCACAGCATTAAGGCCCCCCCTCCCCTGCCACCCCTACAAACATACACTACATTGAAAGAGAGAAAAAAAAAAAAAAAAAAGGGAAAAAAAAAAGAGAGAGAAGAAAAAAAAAGGAGAAAAAAAATTGCACACAATTAACCATATGTAAGGGCTATCCAGAAGGCAGGTGACACCTCCCCCTCCACCCCTTGGCATTGGTGGTTTCTCTTTTGTTCTATATATAGTAATAACCTTTACAGGAAAAATACTGTACAACTTTTTTTTTTTCCTTTCCTTTTGAAACATTAGCTGAACATTCTGTCCCCACATTTACACAGCTGAGCTGCTTGTTTATAAATCAGACCTGATCTGCACCAGTTCCTTAGGGAAATAACAAAAAAAAAAAAAAGCAACCTAAATTTCTTCAGGCCTTTATCTGTTCAGGGTGAAAACAAATCCTGGGGATCCCTTAGAGCTGAAGTGCTCATGGAGCTGAGGAGGGGAGAGGGTGCCTGCATGGTATAAAAAAAAGATTTTTTTCTTTTTTTAAAAGGGACAAAGCTCAGACTAATCTGGTATACTTTAAAACTGGCACCAAAATAACTATCAGAATTAATTCATACTAGTCCTTCTGGTGCCCTGGCGTGTGTAGACAAGCCCTGTCAGGCTCAGGCAAGGATCTGGGGTCAAACAGCTACTGTGGCACCTGCCAGAGGCCGGGACAGGTCCTGCAGTGTGTGTTCCCAGGCCAGGCCAGGAAAGAGAGCAGGAAGAGCCCGGAGCCAGGGGAAAGCCCAGGCTGCTGCAGAGCCCCTGCCTGAGCCCTGTCCCAGGGCAGGTCCTGCCCAGGGTCCGGAGCAGGGCTGAGCAGGGCAGCCAGAGCCTGCCAGAGTCACCTGAGATCCGTGTCTGTCACACCTGGCGCGCCTGCAGCAGGGCTGGGCACCAGGGCTGGGGAGGGGACTGTCCCGGTGCCACTGCCTGGGGCACGGCTGGCGCTGTCCCGAGGCTGCACGGGGACTGCTGCTCCCCGTGCTGCACCACGGGGCAGGGGCAGCTCACAGCTCCTGAGATGGGGATACTGAAGCACCACAAAAACGCCTCACCTCCGCAGAGAGGAAGCACCTAGGGGTTGGGATGAGATGGACCTGGATGGCAGAGTAACCCCAGTCCTCCAGTGTGACAGACCCTTTGAACTGCCTGCTGTGTTCTTCCCAGGTTACTTCAGCTAAATCCCTACATCACAACAGCAGGGATGAGGAGAGGTGTCCTACAGAGAAAGTGTAGACTGAGAAAGTTTTACAATATAAATAGCATTCAAAATTATTATCATTAACAGTAAAAAGGATCTGGAAGAACAGAGGAGTGTCCCATTCCCACCCCTGCTCATTCATTAATGCATCCTCATTTATGTGACAATAAATACCCACTCCCACCCTGGCTGTCTGATGCCATTTAATGCTGGAGAAAGAAGGGGGAAGGGTGGAGAGAGAGAGAGAGAGAGAGCACACTCCTCACCCCCTCCTTCCCACTGGCAAAAGCTGAGCTACTTGTCTTTGTGACACCAATTCCTTTAATTTTATATATGTGTGTGTGTGTGTACATTATATAGAGAGACACACACACAAATATATATTTCTAAAATTCATTACCTCTTGTTCCCACCCACCCCCCTCCAAGAAGTGGAGATTATTATTATTATCGTACAACTGAAAACATGGAAAAATAAAACCCAGAAAGAAAATTGGGGGGATAGAGCCCCACCCATAAAAAAGGGTCCCCAGATGGGCACAGGCCCCACGCACCGTGCAGGGAGCAAGGAAAAGTAGTGGGTACCCTCAGGGTTCGTGTCCATAGAAAGGGTATTTTTTGCTGCATCCTGCCCCCGTTCTGGGATCTGTAGGATGGAGTGATGCAGCACCAGTCCTGCTGCCCACCGATCTCTTCTGGGGCCTGGGGAGGAGCAGGGGTTTCCTTCCTTCCTCTCTCTCATTTGTGGCACAGAGTTCGTTTTTCATTTGCCATCCCCATCTTTGTTCTTGCCTTATGCGGGGTCCTCTTAGTAAATCTGAGTAAGAGAAGAACCAAACCACTGCCGCTGCTGTCTCTAGGATTAAGGAGAAGCTGCTGGAGCAACGGTGGAGGCTGAGGCAGCAGCTGGAGCTGGAGCAGGGGCAGGAGCTGGGGCTGGGGTGAGGGCTGGCTCGCCCTGAGGCCTGGAAGCATCGCCATGGTCTGTGGAAGAAGCACCCTCCTCTGGTTCTCCATCTTCTTTAGTGGCCAGGCCCTCTGGGTCCGGCAGCGATTCTTCAGAATCTGTGTTCAGGTCTTCCTCCTCCTCGTCGTCCTCCTCATCATCATCGTCATCCTCCTCTTCATCATCCTCCTCTTCTTCATTCATCTCCTCCTCATCGTCCTCTTCATCCTCTTGGGAAGAGTCGTCCTCGTCCTCCACATCCCCGGAGCCCGGTGCCCCCGCGCTCCTCTCCGGCGGCGCGGCCCCGGCTCTGCTTGGGGACGGGCCCTCGGCGACGTCTGCCTGCTTCTTGCTGAGGTCCAGGGAGTCATTGAGGCCCACGCCAGCTGCGTTCTGCAGGAAGAACAGGGAGCTGTTGTTGTCAGTGCTGAGGTTGAGCGAACTGTCCAGGTTGATGGAAGAGTTCTGGATATCGTACTCAAGAGTGGAGTGGGCAAGGCCCTCGGGGCCGGGGGAGATGGCAGGCAGCTCCCCTCGCTCCTGCTTCTCGTGCTTGCGCTTGTGAGAGTCCATCTGAGACATGCCCACCACCGTGTGCTTGCAGCCGGGGTAGGTGCAGTGGAAGTGGGAGCATTTGAGTTTGTACTTGCAGTCAGGCACCTCGCAGTCCACGCTGGAGCTGAACTGGCAGAAGCCGGCGGCGCTGATGACGTCCTGCTTGCCGTGGTGCTTGCGGTGCGCCGTCACCTTGGTGCTGTCAGTGCAGCGGAAGCCGCAGCGCAGACAGTGGAAGTGTGTGCTATTGCCAGAGAACTGACAGTCTGGGAAGTTACAACTCAGTGAAGACTTGAAGCGTTTGAAATCATCCAATACTAGGTTGTCAACACGGTCGTGGTGCTGGGCGTGCTTGTACATGTGGGTACGGCCACAGAACTTGTAGCCGCAGTTCTCCCGTGTGCAGTGGTAGTGGGTAACCTTGAGAGAGAACTGGCAGCTGGAGTCCTTGCAGTCCTCGTAGAGGTCATAGCGCCGAAATCCCTCCAGCATCATCCCTTCATCCAGCATCTTGCGTGAGGACGCGGTCTTGCGGCGCTTGCCAAACGGGGACATGTCCTCAATAATCCAGAAACGCTTTTTGGCCCCCGAGGCAGTTGGCATGGTGATGGTGTTCCCTGAGGAGAGAAAGCGCAGAGCGGTGTTGCTGACAGCCAGGTCTCTCCATCTCCAGCCCTCCTGGCAAGCTCTGTGTTTGCCAGGACACAATGCTGCAACTGTTCCCACCCGCAGCTCGTGCCTCGAGCTCTCGGCGAGCCTGAACCCCAGCACTGTGGCTGGCTGATGCCTGCTGGACATCACTTCCTCAGTTTTCAGCATATCCTGCCTTGTCTCTGCTGCCCTGGCAAACCTGATCTTGTACAAATGTGAACTGTTGCTTCTCTGGTTTGCTGCTTTCACAGTTTCTCTAATCTCTAGTCCCATTTCCCTCAAATCAGACTTTAATAGGGAGGAGCTGGCTTGCTCCAGTCCAAGGACTGAGGTGTGTTACTGTAGCTCCCTGGGGTGGTACCAAGAGCTGCAGTGTGCTAAAAGCTGGTACACGTGCACTGTTTTCCCCTATCCAGGCTCTCGTAACACACTACAATTGCCAAGGACAGGCAGGAAGTGAAGGAAGATCCCATGCGTGATTAAAACTGCAGCGGGGGGGTGGGGGTGTGTGGAATTTATAGAAACAGGATGGACTTTGGCCAGGAGACTGCAACATCCCTCACTGTAATGAGCCTACATATTACAATGAGTGCACTTAGAAAGACAGATGGACAGATGTTCAATGGGGCTAATTCTCATCATCACTAGCCAGTGGACTCTGAGAGAAAATACCAGCTCTGCAACATTCCCTTGGGTCTCAAAAATTCCACGATGCCCCTAGTATAAATAAAGATCCCTCATCTATCTTCCACTTTGACTCACAAGGCCAGCAGAACTGGCTAGTGCTCGTGTCCCCTAGGATCATCTGACATCAAAGACGCGACCTCAGTCTATCTATTAACTTTTCTCCTCTGCTTGCTGCTTCCAGAATCAACCCACAATCTCCAGTATCAACATGCAGCACAGACACGGTTGGAGGCAAGAATTTCTCACCAGGTGCAGAACTGTGAGTGTAATTAGAAATTATAGCTTGCAACTAATCCTTATTTTTCACTCTCTCCCTGCTGAAACTGCCGTCTTTTAAAAGAGGCCCAATTTGTGACACACAGGGCGTGGGGCCCGAGAACCCAGAGCAGATTGCATCCCGGTCTGGGAGGCTGAAGGGACAGTCACTGTGTAGCACTGCTTCCCTTCTTGGTGCCCAGGTGACAACCCCTCCGTGACAGCCTTCAGGAGAAGGTGGTGGCCACGGAAGGAAACCTGCCCCACTCCCAGACTGGTGACCATGGAAGGAAACCTGCCCCACTCCCAAACTGGTGACCACGGAAGGAAACCTGCCCCACTCCCAGACTGGTGACCACGGAAGGAAACCTGCCCCACTCCCAGACTGGTGGCCACGGAAGGAAACCTGCCCCACTCCTGGCACTGGCACTGGTGGCAGGAACCTCCTCTCCACACGGCTGGGCTGTACAGCTTGTGGGATAAGCAAAGAACAAAAGGTTTTCCTGCACCATTTGTTACTGGCTCTTGTGCTCAGACTCAGGACACCAGCTCAGGTCACCCATGGTGACACCATCTGAGTGACACGGTGGGAACTGCACGCTAAGGCTGATTTAACCAGCTACCAGGCAAAGAATAACTTTCTGTCACTGGAGATTTGAAATTGGCAGGCTCCTAACTACAGAATCTGTGACCAATTTGCTCTCTGCTCCCCCCTGAACATCTGGTATTGAAAAATCCAGTTCTCCACTCCCAGCCAACTCATGTAAGTGCAGTGGTGCCTGGACAAGTCACTGCTGTCCAAATTAGCTCCTTTTAATAAAATTACAGCCAAACCATCAAGTTCTCTAGCATTAATTAATGTTCATATTGTCTGCCTTTGGATGGGAATATGGGATAATCCATCTTAAAGAAAAGACTCTGGATGGGAAATAAGCAGAATTTAAATTTTACCCATTTAAAACTCTGTATCTACACAGCTTTTAAAATAGTTCAAACAGATGTGCTTAAAACTTTAGTTGAAAACCAATTCTGTTTTCTCATACAGGTAAAGTTTTGGAGTAAGGGCATAATGAAGGGAGATGACACTTGGTGCACTCTCCTCTTTTGCCAGCATTCAGTCCCTGCACCCTGTGAAAGATTACAAGCCTCAATGGATGGGATCCCCACCAAATCTCAATGGTGTTTTCCTTAAGGTTATTTCTTTAACCACTAATAATGTCAGCATTCACCAAACCAAGGTAAAAACAAAAGACACTTTAAAATATTTGATTAGAGGAAGCACAGCACAAGGTTAAAAATGTTTCAGGCTGCATGCAGTTCAGTTAAAAAATAAGTAAAGATAGTTTCTCATTTTGTTAATTGGCACACACTCCTCTGGACAAGGCAAGGATCCTTCTCCTGCCAAGTCCCTTGAGAAAAACCTATGAACTGGAGTTGGAAACCTGTGAAGTTGGTCCTCCAGCCATACTCCCAACCTCTGACCTTGGATTTACACATTACTGAAACTGGCAGGAAGAATGACTGGGACATTTGAAGGCTGCCAGAAGCCTCATAAGTGTGAGCTTTAAGCACAAAGATGTCCTTAATTAGCTAGAAAAGAGCTAGCAGTTGGGAAAAGAATGAGAAATGAGACACGCCCTAAAAGCCATTCCCAGATGGAATGAGAATACCCAGCCTGAGACATCTCTGATCTTAGTCACACATGGAAATCATGGCAGCCCAAAACTGAAATCTATTTGTACTTTCTGCAGCTGATTAGAGCCTTGATAAATAATGAGTGTGAGAAACAGCTCAACCTGTCTGATGATGTCATCATGTGACACTGACTGTACTTCACTCCTCATCCTGGGAAGGCACCCCTCAACTTTGTGGCTTCATACGAAGTTTGCAAGATCAGTTGAAACACAGGGCCTGGGCACCTCATCAGACATTCACCTGTGCAGCACACTGCCTTGGCTGGCCTGGAAGATCTAACCAAGAAGTCCAAGTCCCATTAATGCCACATGAGCAAAAGTTTTCTCTGTGGCCACTTTGAGGTCACCAAGACACTGAAAATGCACTTTAGCTGTGGATTTTGTTAGGTTTTTCTCACAGTTAGGAATTGGTGGCAATTGCTCTCAGTTATTCATCCGAATGTCTATGAATGATTTGCTGTGGTTTGTTTCCCCTTGGCTGTGGTTATTTGTCAGCAAGGAAAAGGAGCAGGCATGGATGGGCCCTTGGGGAACATCGCCAAGGCACAGAGTGACCTTTGCTGCTCTACCCACCCAAAGGTGCAGAGCAAAACCATGGGCAGGGTGAGTGGGGACAGAGCTGGGCACAGGACACGGAGAGAAAGCAAAGAAGTGTTACCTGCTGCATCCTGCACTAAGGGAACGTCACTTTTTACTGGAGTTGGAGTGGCAATGATGGGCGAGAACCCAGCGGTGCTGGCGGCAGGCATGACAATGCCTCTGCTGGCTCCCAGGGTGGCACTGAGCAGGGAGTACGAGAGACAAGATGGAGAGAAGAGGTAGGGGAGGGTGGGGAGGGGAGACCTAAGCAGGGCTTGTGAGAAAGATGGAGGCAGAGATGGTGGTGGAGGTTGTGGTGCAGTGTGGGTTGCGTCATCGGCAGCAGCAGTAGCAGTAGAAGGAACCAGGCAGCCTGGAGAATGTGGAGAGAAAAAAAAAGCAGAAAAAAAAGAAAAAAAAAAAAAAAAAAAAAAACCAAAAAAACCAACAAAACAAGAAACAAAAGAACTGAAATGAGAACCCAAGAGCAGAAGCAATATGATGAAAATGGAAAATACATTCACAAATGTATGAAACAGAACTGCAACAGAGAAGAAACAGAAGGTGAGGAATTGACAGCACCAGGAAGAGGAGAGTTGTCTCTGCAGGAGGTAAGGTGGCTTTATGGTACGGGGGAAGAGACACAGGCTTTCAGGCAGGAATTCTGGATTCATTTGGTCATTCTGGTCCTTGTTCATCTCTAGGGTTGCTGCCTGCTTCAGCTGTAGGGGTGCTCTGGCACCTGGGGCAGGTGAGCTGTTCCCTGCCTGGAGAGCAGTGAGGGGCATTTCCTAGCACTTGGGCCACTACTGGCACAGAGGAGTGTGCCAGGAACCACTGCCCCAGCAGAACCCCTGGAGGTGCCATGATGTCGTGGGGCCAGTGCCCGGACCCAGCAGTGCTCCTACAACGTGACTGCTCTGGTGGCCGTGAACTGGGGGGGGAGAAAACTAGGAAAATGTGCATGGAATTAAAGCAAACTGAGGCAGCCTGTCAGAATATCCCACTAAACCCTGGGGAGGCACAGCTGGGAGATCCCTGGTCACCACTTCATGATGGCAGAATTCCTACCAGTATCTGACTCCTGATGAGCTGCCCCTGTAATGCAGGGCAGGGGGACATGGCTCTGCACGATCCTGGCAAACAGGGCAGGAACTTTCCAAAAGAGGATCCCCTTTTTTGGAGGAGGGGGTCTGCTCTGTGCAACTGCACAAAGTGGAACAAGAGTTTTTGGGTGAGGAAGGGAGCTCAGTAAGCTGCTTTTAGATGTTGCTTTCTGAAGATGTGATAGGTTCTATCCCCTGTGTATGTCAATCTGCTGTTGTACTTCACCAGTACAATAAAGTGCCTGACTTTGGATGCTGCTTGAGGAAATACAAAGAGGTACCAGAGAAAATTCTAAGTACAGAAGAGGCCCACAGCTCTTTTTTACTGTTTTCTTTCTAAAGTCAACTATTAAAATATACCAAACTCCAAGACCCAGGATAAAAACCTCTCTTCATGGGAGGAAAAAGGTTTGCTGCTAAGTTCCTGGATGCCTGAGGTGTATATTTTGATGGACCTCTTCTCTCAGGTGCTGGAGAGAGCTGGGTTAGTGTGAGGCACTACTGAAGTTGGCACAGGAATGTATTTTAAGGTGCAACTGTTCCTTGGCCTCTTTTTATGAGCTTCTCTCCCAGGAGAGCAGGCAGCAGGTGATCCATTTCACACACACCCTTCTCCTTACCTGCTGATGTACTTTCATTGCCCACTGGAGTGCTGGAGCAGCTGCGGTCCATGTTGGAAGATTCAGAGGAGATGCCCCCAGGGCTACAGCCAGTGTAATCCATGTACTCTTCTGTTTCAGTGTCCATCATGCTTGGGGGTCCCTGAAAGGAAGCTGGGGTTCCTGATGAGGCTGGGCTGGGTGCCATGCTGCCAACCTGGGGGAGATTTTCATTTCTTGGAGTGTGGCCAATAACCTGCAGCAGGAAAACAAGACGGGGACTTTCACACCAAAAGCAAGATACCAGGACCAAAACCATCTGTCTGCACGTTTATCTCCCTCTGCCACAGCCCATGAGGGACAGCTGGCACGTGCTTGTGAGTGGAACCCGTGGCACTGGGAGCATGACTCCTCCTGCACTAGGAGCTCAGAGCATTAAACCTGGCACGTGCATCCTGGTATGTGAATTGTGCTGCACTGGGAGCTGGGAGTGTTAATCTTGGCACCAGCATCCTGGCGTGTGGATGCTGATGCTTCCCAAAGAGGAGGTGTTAATGCTGGCATTGCCCCCTCACCCTGTGGGTCCTGCTGCAGTCAGATGCTGGAACCATGCCTGAGTTCAGTGCTGAGCCCCTGAAAGATGGAGGTTACACACAGCATTTTCTGCCCAGTGTGCACTAGAATTCTTAGGGTTAGACTCAGCATCTGCTAGAAGAGTAGTGAAGACAAATTTATTTGTTAGATCTTCCTAAGTCTGATTCTTGTACCTAAACTTTTTACAAGAGACCAAAAGCTGCCCCAAGAGCAATACCAGTTCCTTAGCATCTGTGAATTCTTTATATGCAACAGGAAAAATCTGGATGGGCACATTCAATTCTTCCACATCCTAAGCACGTTAACTTTAATAAGCCAATTGTATATACTGAAAGAGCTGGGAGAGAGTGAAAGTTGAAAATCTGAGTATTTTAGTGTTATCCTTCTCAATATTTTTCTACAAAATTTACAAGGAAAAGCTGTTTGCACTAAGCAACGCTTTGCAATCAATGCTTCATCATCTTTACTCATCTTGTGTAAGTTCAGCCAGGTAAAGCTACCCTGGGTGTACTCCCACTGCCCAGCAGCATCCCCCAGAGCAGACACACATCCCTCAGAGGCTGGGTACAAGTGTCTTGGCACTGATCAGCTCTGCAACCCAAGGGGCCAACACTGCCTGTGGGTCTACAGCTTCAGCAACAAGGAGCTACCTGAGTAGGAACACGATCAAAGTTCTTCCCCAGCATCCTTCTCATGTGCTTCCTGGCATGGGATGTCATTTGGTGCTTGAGCAGGAAGGAGAACTGGCAGCCCTCTCGGATGCAGTGGAAGTGGCTGTTCACCTGGTTGTATTTGCAACCTGTAAACACAAACCCACATTTATGTTGCACATGAAGGTTCCCAGAGGGAGCAGGACCAGAGGGAAGATGATCAGACAGAACATTATCAGTGGTCATGGGTTATTCAGGAACAGTCTTGAAGGAAAAAAACCCAAACTCACCATCTACTGCCTGCTGAGCAACTGCAAGAGAGGATTACAGTGTACAGAGATCTAAGACCAGCCCAGTCCCATCCCTCTTTGTGCCATTATAAAGGAAGGAACATTGCCATTACATCTGGTAGTGCCTAATGCTCTTCAGTCTTAGCTAGTGCCTTTTCTTTTACTACAAGAACAAAACCAGGACATTGAGCTGTATCACAGAAGCTACAATCAAAACACACGCTCATAATTAGATTAGAAATGAAAAGTTGTTTTTTTCCCCCTCTAACTGTGCTCTCAGAAAAGCAGTCTCATATCAACCCTAGCTCTGGACAGTGTGTGTGCTCTGGTCAGACAGGAATGAGCCAGGCAGTGTTTACTGCCACTCCAGAGCTGTTGTGCAACAGGGGCAGCCACTGGACAAGCAGCAATTCCTTTGGGTTCTGGCATCCAGCACTCCACACGTTCTGCTCCTCGTGGCCACAGCCACGCGTGCCAGGCGTGCACAAACCATTAAGGGACAATCCCAAACAGCCACACTGCACAGCTGATAAACAGTGGCTTGTCATAGTTCAAACACAGCTACACCAGTGATCAGGACCTGCTGTTTCCCATCCTCCCCTGGCCATATGCACAGAGGTAGAGACCTACAGACAGGCTCACTTATCTATCTACATCCATCCACCTTTACTTACATAAGTATGTTTCACCTCTCTCTCCCCAGTCATACACACTTACATGATTAAACACACAGAAACATACATTGAAAATATCTGTTGTGGGTGTTTGTTCAGAAACATTCACAGCCTTTAACACAGGCCAGTGCTTTCTGCACCTGCTGTCTACAAATACACAACATAAACCCAGGGATGTACACAGACATAGAAATGAGTGTTGGTAAAACCACACACACCTACACCACCCCACCAAGCTGCCTCTATCTATGCAGGCAAATGCAGGGTGCTGGCTGGATGTGTGTCTGCTGCACAGCAGGGCCAGCCCACAAATGCACACACTGCTGGGTGTACCCCAGAACCCCATCCCCCTTTGCTGACACACGCACAGGCTGCAGCTGCCTCACTCCCAAACAGCTCCTGACCCCCCCAGCTCATGTGGAGCTGACAGCCAGTGTTTCATGTGCAGGCCAGGAGTGTGTTTGTTTAGGTTCCACTCTCCCCACCGTGCCCATCCCTGTGCTCTGGGACTGGACCTCTGTCACACAGGGCAGGTGAGGGCTGGTGCCACGTGGCACTGCCCTGCTGTCACCTCAAACACCAAAGGGGAGTAAAGAACAGCAACTGCTAGATCTGCTGCCACGTGTAAGCAGGACCTGGGTAGGCAGTGGCTGTGGTGTGCTGACATGTATTACCCTGGCTACCACAAACAAACTTCCATTTGGGTACAAATTCCTGATGTATTCGAAGCTGAAGAGTTTTGCTCTGGCTACTGTGGCTGTTTTCCTGCAGTGGGAAGGAACAGAACCCAGAGGTGCTGTTCTGAACCTTGTTTGGTTCCAGCCTTTGTTCCAACCAGAGCACCCTTAAATTTCACCCAACACAAGCAGTAGGTCCAAAAGACTACAAAGTATAAAAAACAAACAACCCCCCCCCCAAAAAAAAAAAAAAAAGTTTTGACAATTAGATAAAAAAGAAGAAAAATGATGAAGCTTTATGTCCAGACATTCATATATACAATTCTGCATAGTACATTTACCTTGGGTCTATTTGTGAAAACATGCTTCAACCAGACAGACCAGGAACTGCTTTATGTTTTGTTGCCCTCCTTGTTTAGTGATTTAATGACCAAATACCTCTTAAGCATAACTTGCAGGTTCTAACTTACGGCATTCTTGGCCTGGACATGGGACACACCACACAGAAACAGAGCAAAACTCACCTAGTCTGCCACATTCCTCCCGCTTGGTAAAATACTTGAAGCCGTTGGCTGCCCTTCTCTCTGCCTTCTCATGCTTTTTCACGTGCCAGGGCAGCTTGGTGGTGATGTTAGTCACGAAGTAGCAGCCGGGACGCAGACAGTGGTAATGCCCTCGCATCCGGAATTCACAGTGCTGGGGGGAGACACAGGCATGCTGCTTCAGGCAGGGCCAGAACAAGTGCACCCTCAACTGCCTGCTGCTGATGCTGCCCCTTCTGATGTGCCAGAGGGGCCTGCACTGATGCTCCACATCCCATTTTATCTTCCACAACCTGCCATGCACCTTGTCCCCTCTCGAGTCTTTTTACACTGCTGTTGTGTACCCTGTAATACACTATTCTACAGTGAGATATCCCAAAGCTTCCTCAGGGCTTGGATTCATCACAGATTTTTATTCTATGTCATCTTCTCTCTCAGATTATTCTCATTCCCTTGTCCACTTCACCCAAGTCAAAAATACACAAAAGCATCATGACTTCCCATTTGATAAGAACCAAATGTTTTTTCCAGACCACATAATTATGACTTCCATGGTTCTGTAGTAATGCCAAGAAAGCCACACACAGCCTCACTTCCTGCTGGAGAGTCAGTCTAGCTGATCCTTCATCTCCCTCTCCCCAGCCCTGCCAGAACACTGCTCTGGAATGGCTCTTACCTGGTTTGGACAGAGACACTGCAGGGAGTAGTAAGCAAACTGGTCTCGCACATTCACCAGATTATTGTTGGGGTTGATGTGGTCCAGGCAGTGGGATTCTGCTTTGCCAGAGGTTTTGCACACATACTTGCAGTTCCCAAAGAGACAGTGGAAGTGGAATTTGTTGGCGTACTTGCAGTCTGTTGCCAAGCAGGGATCACTGGAATACATCCAAAACCCAATCATCACCTTCACTCATTTCACACATTTGTTTCTTTGCCAGGATTTAATTCAAGGGGAGCCCAGCTGAAGCCTCTGTTCCAAACATGGCCCACAGATTTCCCATAGCCACCTTCCTCTTCAGGGGAATTGAGGCTGGCAACATTACTACAATTCCACCCAATTACTGCACTTTCTTGGTTAGGATTATTAGAACACAGCACAGTGGGTTCTTGAGGGCCACTTTTCCAATTTAAAGTTCAAAGGAAACACAACTCTTGAGCGTGGCCACTGCAGGATGCCAGGGCTTCCCCTGATCTGCCCCTCTCAGCAGCTAATGGGTTTGGTACCTTCCACCCCCCACTCAGTGCATGGATTTCTGGCCCAATAACCCTTCAATGTCAAACACACTGCAAAGATACCTGTACTTCTGCACAGCTCTTCCAAGGGATAAAACAGGGATCAGTGACAGATAGATCAACAAGTTTATTTATCTTCTAAACTCATGCCTAAAAGTGCTCTCAGATGCACTCAAAAACCTTGAAGTACTTCCTAGACTTCACAGAACTAATTTTTCCATGAAGTCAAGCCCAGAGTACTTTCTAGACAGGTTTCTCAGTGGCTGAACAGGAGTGTGGTATTGCAGCTCTGAGGAAAGGTTGGCTGGGGAGGGTAGAGGGAGACAAATGGTAGCTAAAACTTACTTCTCCTGGAACTGAAGAAATCCAGGTTTGACCTGAGGCTTGGCATTCTCCAGGGAAGTCGTTGCCAAGGGTGAAGCTGCCAGGTTAGGCACTGATGCTGGGATCTGAGGCATCTGGGGTATGGTTGAAGCCAGCTGCTTCCAAGCAAGTAGTGTGGGAGCAGAGGGCATAGCAGCTGGGTTTGGAGTGGGCACGTCAAGGGCAGGAGCACTGGCCATGGTGGCAGAAGCAGCAGATGGTGATGAAGGGGCCAGTGAAGCCTTATTCTCAGTAGCAGTTGAGAAGGGAGACTCAGAGTTGCTTTTCACAGTTCCACCTTCAGTTCGGAAGTGAAAACTACAAAACAAGATACCAACTCAGACATAAATTCTTGACCATTTCATGTAATTTGATTAAACATCAACAAGAATGTGACAGGAGCCTGTAAACAAATTGGTGTGGATAAATCCTAAAAGGGGCTCTGCAGACTTTGGGTAAGATTTAGGGCCATCCTAAATCATCTGTGAAGAGAAGGGAAATCATTAGGATGGGTGGAGACAGGTGCCAAAGCATGTTAAAATTAGAGAAACCCCAGAATCACTGCAGTCACTGAGATCAGCTGTGGGGCAGCTTCCCAGGGCTGCTGGGAGAAGCCAGACATTTCCTGCAGTGAACCACAGGGAAGCATCCAACAGAAGAGACCGACCATGCCAACAGATCTGTCTTAAAATTTGCAACATCTCCTTCCCTACAACCCCTTGAGACTCAGGCAAGTGCATGGCCACTGAGGGCCTTGCTCATTCTTTACTTGGACATTCCATTGCCTTTAAAAGGAACCTGGGGTGGTCTCGGACTGCAGTGTGCACTGCAGAGCTTCCTCTGCTCTCCACTCACTTGGCATGCTTGATGGCTCCATCCAGGGTGCTGAAGAGGGCTCCACATTCCTCCACCACACAGTGGAAATGCACCTTATGGAGGAAGTCACACTGGGCATCACAGAAATCCTTGGTGCCAAACCTGGCCAAAACACACAAGCAGACATCTCAGGGAAGGCCCCAGGAGAGAAGTGGAGCTGGAACAGACATTATTTCTGTATTTTTCAACTCTATTAGCATTCCCACAAACAACAGTAATTCTAGATCCAGAATCCACCCCTGGCTATGAGGGTATCTCTCAGATGGGAGAGATGAAGCATCCTCTAACAGCAATTACAGCCTGGACTGCAGAAATACTGCACAGCACCATGCCTGATGTACAGAACAGCCCTGCCTGCAAACCCCAGAGCAAAACCCACCACGGTCTCCAAGACATGTCTTGTGCTATCTTGGAGCAAATGGCCAAGAGGGCAAAACCAGCTCAGCGTGGTGTCACTGCTCAGCCACTGCTGAGATCCTCTGGACTTAATAAGTGCAGCACAAATGCGTGTGATTTCAGGAAACCCCAGAATCACAGGGAATCAAGAAAACAAGTAAGAAACACTGGCAGGAAGGATTTGAAACTTAACAAGGGAATCTTGCATAATTAAGGTACAACAAACTACGGTTGCTCTGATGAGCAGGAAAGCAAGAAACAAACAGCAGCCTGTATGGTCCCAGGAGGGACCTCTCACCAATGGGAGGGCAAAGGAAAGAGAAAAAACTTGTACTGGAGAAGGAAGGTCTGTGGATGTACAACATGGCTTGCAGGGAGAAGAGGAAGGAAATCAATTGTGGGGTAAGAGAAGAAACCACGTTACTGCAAACTAAAGGGGCTGTTTCATCAGAGACAAGAAGTGTTGAACCTAGAAAGAAGGCCTCCCACAAAAAGGGAGGTGATGAATCAAAAATGGCTGCATTATAAAATTTGCTTTGGATGCGAAAACTAAAGACAAAGCAGAGAATTTGGGATGTAGTGAAGATCTTCTAGAAGAGCAGATAAAGGGACTCATTCGAAAAATACAGAAATGCACAAATCAGTCAGTCTGGATGATGTATGTCCTGAAGTGCAATGGAAATTAACTCCCAAACTGATTATATTACCATTTGCTGGTTTTTAAGCCATAGAGAAATGGGAGGTACTACATAAGTAGAAAAAAAAAAGAAATTAAACAGTCAAGGTACAGTTTCTTTGAGGGGAAAAAGAAAAGTCATCTTTGGCAATTATCATACCTCTGGCCTTAACTTCTCCTTCCAGTAAAGTAATGGAACAAATATTAAGAGGGAGGAGAAAATCATTAAACATCTAGAGGATAAAGGAACCACGAGCAATAAACAGCATCAGGATTATAAAGAATAAATCTTGCCAGACAAATTTAATTGCTTTTTTTGATAGAATTACAAAATTAGTGGATGAAGGGATGCAATATATTTGGATTTTAGTAAAGCATTTGATTCAGTCTTGCATATGCTTAGAATTAATTCCAATTGGCCTGGATGTAATGCCACCTCATGGCTTGAAACTGGCTGAGGGACCATAAACAAAGGCTGATGACAACCAGCACCACACTGAGCTGGGAGGAGGAGGCATCGTGTGAGTGCTGAGAGGAGGGCTTGGGTTAGTCTGAGTTTATTTAACATCTTAATTACTAATCTAGGAGTAAACAGTGTGTTTATGAAATTCACAAAGATACTAAACCGGGAGGAGGTGGCAATACCAGTGCAAGAGGAGAAAAAGAGCACAGAGAGGTTTGGCAAGACAAGGGGGAACGTTCAGAACAGGACAATCATGTTTGGAAACACACAACAAATACACCTGGGTGTGGGGGTGTTTTATACATTGGGGACTCACTGAACAACTTTAAAAGCAATTCTGTGTCAAGAGGATGACAACCATGGTACTATACATTATTCTGTGCAGATGCAAACACATTCTGAGCTGCCTGTTTGGGGGCAGGAAGCTTGTTCTGTGGGGAGGGGGGCAATTCTGCACCATCCAGGGAACAAGGGAAAGCAACAGGACCTGCAGGCACCAGGGACCAATCCAGAGTCAGACTGAAGGAGGCAAGAGCCTGGTTAAATGGAATGCTGAAAGTCTGGGACTGTCTGAAGGGGCTGAACTCCAGCTGCATAGAGGAAGGATCTGCTGTGGGTCAAGGGGATAAAAGAGCTGCAACAAAGCTCCAAGAAGTGGAATTCAGGCAGCACACCGTGGAAAAGGCTGTGACATTGAAACTTTCTGGGTGGTAGAATAATGCTCCCAGAGACAAGAAAAGAGCCACGCTGCCTGGCACTATCACAACCACAGCAGACAAAATGCAAATGCACTGCTGGGAAGGACCTCACACCAGCCAGGGGCTGATGGACTAGGAGATTTTCTAGTGTTCCCCATTAAAGCCTTTGATTTCCAAAGAGTGCACTGGCATTTGCAGGTGACTCTCTGTGTCAGAGCACAAACCTCTGTGCCTGCCTGGGTGTATCTGTGTGCCCTCAAAGCACGTGTCTGTCTGGGCATGTATGTGCATGTGTCTGTATGTGGGTGAGCTTTGTATCTGCTCCATTTTCTTTTTGAGTCTCCTTTCCTGCAACAAAAGGAGCAGAAATCATCCCAGCTGCCATACCCTTTTCCTTATTCCCATGCCTCTACATCCCCAGAACTTGTTTGCTTTCAGCTGGAAGGCCCCAGGGAGCACGGCAAGGCACCCATGGCCTGTGTGTGGCCGTGGTGTCACTCAGGTCCAGTGCTGAGAGCACAGCTACTCTGGGTCCCCTGGCTTGCACTGCAGGGTCACAAGGAGGAGCCTAAGGTGAAGCCCAGGATAACAGAACTACATGAAGATCTGTGCTTGAGTCTGGTTCTCAAGACCCCTTTGCAAAATAATTCTGTGTGGGCAGGTATTTCCTAGCAGACATTAGCACCTGGTGCAGGCAGGGACGACCAAGGGCTAAGTGTGCTCCAGGTGATCAGTGTCTGACAGAATCAGGCCTTTACATTCAACAGAACTCTGTGTTCAGTGAGGCAGACACTTTGCAAAGGAAGCACTTTCCCCTTTCCCCAGCTCCATGCCCTCCTTACCGGCGCAGGTACATCTTCCATGGCTCAGAGAGCTTCTCCTGGACAAGTGCCTTCACTGCCTTGCCCAAGTACTGGCTTGGCTCCCCAGCCCCAGCCTGGCTGCCTTCACCTTCTGTCTTAATGTTCAGCAGGTTGCCAAGGCTGGCACTGGTCTTGGACATCTGCAACAAGAACACAGGCACTGCATCAAGCCCAGCACACAGCCACAGCCACCCTCAGGACTGTCCCACAGACAGCAGTGTCTCCAAAGACTAAAAGAGAAGACAAAAAGTCTGTGCAGGCTGCTCCAACTGCATCAGCAAAAGTTAGTAACACCTCACTCTTCTGCATCTTCCACCCAACCATCATGAAGCACTCGGGTGCCCATTGAATATTTATTCATGGATCTTGTTAGAGCAATGAAGCATCATGTCTACTTCATCCACGAGGAAACTGAGGTGAAGAGAGACATCCCCTTCTGACTGAGGAAAAGGCGTGTGGGCTTCAACAGCAACAGCCCTGTGTAGCTCCTACAAATTGCTGGTGCTAGAACTGGTAAACTCTAGTTTCTTCAGTCATCTGATCCCAGCCACAAGGATGTCTCCCCTAAAGTGTCTACCAGGTATGTGTGAGGGGTAGAAGGATGGAAATCTCATTCAACTGAGGAAAAATTCTCTCTCAAGTTCCTGGAAAATTCTTACTAACTTCAGTAATAAAAATGGTGTCACTTCTCTGTGCTAAATGGACACATCCTGCACAAAGCAGGACTTGGTCTCACGATCTGCATTGTGTGAAAGGCTTCAAATAGAATCTACACAGAGCAGGTTTAGAGGTTCACGTGTAAAATGTGCAGGATAGAAAAATGAAGTTACACAAGCTTGTCTACAGGGAAAATTTTCCTTCAGAATAAATGCATGATTTCCTAGACTCTGTCTTTCTCTTTTGTGCTCTCAATTACCTCCAGGAACAACAGTGAATTTCACAGCCTGAATAAAATGCAGGACTGGGCCCAATACTTGCACTGGAAACTCCACCCACTTGAGGGTCTCGAAGCCCTTTATAAATATCAGTTAATTAAGCCTGACAACCCCCTAAATAAACTGCAATAGGCTTCAGGAATCCTGGTTATTTGAGGCTCTCTTAATGCCCCCCGAAGGTAAAGCCCCTGCTGCTGCGTGGAGACTGCAACTCTTTATGGCTGGAGTCAGAAATTCAGGTCGTGTGTTTCCACTGGTAATTCCATTTCTGTAAAGTTTTTTTTCTGTTCTTTTTCCTAGAAAAACAATGAAGGATTCCCCCATGGACAGCAATTGTGTGCAGCAGGAGGAAGAAGCAAGTGTGATGTGTTCCTGAGCAAACTAAGCTTGACTCTGCAATCTTTGGTCTTGGAATTGGTTCCATCAAACACAGTGGGTTCTACTCTTTGCTGCTTTATCTCCTTGGTTAATCCCAGTCCTTTAACCTGACTCCTAGTTTGCACCTGTGCTGCATTTGCATTGCACAACTTTGAGAACCTTATGTCAGACTGCACACAAAGAAATGCTTTTTTCTAAATATACACTTATATCACATATTATCCTGGAGATTTTCAAGTGAAGTCTCCACTGAAAGAGAATTTCCCTGATCTGGGACCTTCAGAATGACTCATGACCCCAGAGAGCAGAGCTACTAAACACATTTGCTCACTAAAGAAAGACCTGCATATTTGGAAACACTAAAGGGACAATACAAAGAAACAAATAAGAAATTAAGTTTAAAGGGGAAAATCAAAACCCCAGTGTAACAGAAAGCCAATGGAGGAGAAAAGTGACATAAGGATAAATGCAGAAATTAAACAACACAGAGAAAAACAGTGATAAGAAAGAAAGGAGGTGGGAGATTACCAGGCAAAGTCACTTTGCCCTCTCTTGAGGGTTATATGGCCTTGATGCATGTAACACCCAGAGCCAAGGGGATGGCAATAGTTATGCCTATAAAACCTATCACATTGCAGAATATAAAAGCATGGCTCAAAGGGTGCCCTGATCTCTAGAGCAGTTGTATACAGCTGCAAAATTAATCTTGGTACAGGAGAATTTATCATGTGAAAGAGAAATATACATTTGAGATGATGTATAATTTAACAAAAAAGTAAGAAAAAAGAAACTGTGCATCATCTAAAATAAATATTCTAGGACACAGTAAAGGGGACTCTGTTAGACACCATTACTCACACCAGAAAGACAGAAATTGATGATTTTGGTTTAAAACTTCTAATTTTTTCTTCTCTTTCATAAAAATAGATTATTCTCTCCCTTCCGAAATGAAGCAAAATGTTTTTAAGTATGTAAAAAAAATTAATTAACTATAAAAGGGAACTGAGAGAGAAGTTGCCAGGTTCTGAAAACAAAACAAACAAACCCAAACCAAAACAAACTAAAAAACCAAACCCCCACAAGAAAGAAAAGAAAAGAAAAGAAAAGAAAAGAAAAGAAAAGAAAAGAAAAGAAAAGAAAAGAAAAGAAAAGAGCTTTTGGAGCCCTCCTCTGTCTAGAAAGGATGGGGAAAAAAAAGGTGTCAGAGGCGGCAATATATTTCTTCAGCCAGTTCATTAAATTAATTCGTAAGCAGTGGCTCTGAAATTATACCCGATGAAAAATGGTCTCAAAATTTAAATGGTACAAACTCATCTTATTAGAGGCAAAACATTAAAAAACAAACGCATCTCTTCCCCCCCTTCCCCGCTATCGCAGCTTTAATTTCTCTTGGTGGGGGGAATGAAAGGCGTTTGATGGATGGCTCTTACCTTATTCATAAGCGAGGATAAAAGAGATGAATTTGCTGAGACTGTGTGGCCATTTGATTCATTACTGAAACACACAAACCAACAGGGTTTAGTTAAGATGTGCACAGGGACTGCGAGCGCTGAGATTAATCCTTCTCCCTTCAGGCTGCCCCACTCCTCACCTACTACATCCAGGGGAGAAGAATGATGCCAACCCTCCCCTGGGCAGGCCAAACTCGCCTACTTGTGACAGCCAAGAGGGACAGAAAGAGGGTCTCAGGTCTGCAGAATTTACATCTTTCAACTACGAAATGGCCCAGACCTCTTCCCCCAGTGCCCGCTCCATCACACTTCATTTGTTAACTCATGACCTCCCTCAGGTTTTACTCTTTCATCCCATTAGAATTTTCAGAAACATCACAAAAATACCACAAAAGCAGGGGATGTTGACACAGGCTCATGCTGCCAGGGGCAGGGATCCCCTGGGCAGTAAGGGAGGCAAGGCACAATCCTGCCCTGAAAGGCAGCCTTAGGATCTCTGCAGCTGGCTCCAAGTGCTGGACTCCCAAAGGGAGGCTTGCTTAAGGAAGGTACGGACAGGAATGGATACAAAGGTCAAAGTGGAGCTCGCTTATCCCCAGGATCAGTCCCTCTGCTCTTTTTCCACACAGCACAATCCCCAAACACCCCTGCTCTCAGCAGAGATGCTGGGCAGGTGGGACACACGCTTTGAGATAGGTGCATTCACACCTGCACAACCATATGCCAGACCGGGAGCAGAGTGAGCCTGACACCCAGCTGTTTTGTGTGCCCACATTCTCTGGAATGTGCTTCCCTTAGCCCTGATTCAACAGACTACAGCAGTGCAAATGCTGCTGCTAAGAGTGTGCTGAGATGTGGCAGTGGAGCAGTTTCAGTCAGCAACTCACAAGAGGACTAAGTGAAAACAGCTCTGCCAGTGGCTCGGTTTTCACAAGGGAGCAGAAGAAGTGAAGCTCTTGTTGAAGAGCCAGCAGGTGCCTGTGAGCCCAAAAAACCACCTGGAGAAAGGGGAGCAGAGTGAGCCTGCCTGCCTCAGTTTTGGGGTGTTCAACTCCACCACTGTGAAGCTGCCTTCACCAACATGCTGTGTCCTCCTGAACTACAGGTACAGAAACTTCCCAAAGCCTGATGCTGGGAAGTGTTGAGTGCTCCTGCCTGCCCACTTCTCTCACCCGTGGTCCTTGACACTCAGGTCCAAGCTGTGCTCCTGCAAGGGGTCCTGACTGGGGGCCGATGTCGGTCCCACGGCCTCCACAGGTTCCTGCTTCACCTGCACTGGATTGAACCGTCCGGGAGGGGCTGGTTGTCCATTACCTGCTCGAGAAATACAGTGAAATTAAGTGCAAAAAACCAATTAAAAACATCGGTCTAAAATGAGGTTACAACAGCAAATAAGTAAGTTAAATCATTGGCATCAGTGCCTAAGTGGAAAAAGCAAAGAAAAAGTGTTGGGGGGAGGGAAGTACTGGGATTGCTGGTCAGCGTTTATTGCCAAGTTGACATGATGGGTTCTGACGTCCACTCCAGCGTGGAAATTCTTCAAGTGATAATTATTGCAAAATTATGTCAAAGTTGTCCAGGCTACGGGCCCTTTAAAGGAGAAGGGCGGAAGGAGCGTGGGGGAGACCTGATTCTCTGCACAAACTGTCATAACTAATTTGCGGGGCTGCCTCTTAAGCGTTTATTAAAGACTCTGTTAATGCTGAGGCAATGTGGCAGCTTTCGACTGCTAGTCAAGCCCCCTTGCTCGTCCCCGGTCCCAGCGTTGCCGTAGCGACAGCGCTGGCCCGGCACCGCGCCTGCCCAGCAGGAGCATCTGCCCCGCCGGGACGATGCAAGGTGACAGCGACGGGACCGCCGCGACCTCCTGCCACCGCCCTCCCCGCGTCCCCACAGAACGCTGCTTTTTGGGGAGGAGGCGTAGTGCGGAGCCCGTGAAAGAAGAATTCAAATTAAAGGAGGAGAGGAAAAGAGGAGGGGGTAGGGACGAGAGAGAACAAATTGAAGCAAAAAAATTAGGAGAAATGGCAAAGAAAAAAGGAGGGAAAAAAAGTTGCTGACAGAAACATGTCTGCAGAGCTTTTTTCCACAATCCCCAAGTGACTAAAATATTAATTTACCCTCCGGCAGTACAGCTGACGGCGAGCTGCTTCTCAGACAGCAAGTGGCATTTTATTAAAAAATAAAGGAAAATAGTTCCCTCAATGACCTTTCTCTGCTTTAGGAAACAATTTTTCAAACAATAATTTTAAAAGTATGTGAAGGTTCCCCTCCCTCTTTAATCAGATCACTTCCTTCTACTCCCCCGTTCCTCCTGGGCTGCCGGGGCGTCAGCAGCGCTGCCAGGGCAGGGCCGGGCTCAGCCCAGTGCCACGGGTGCTGCCAGGCTCAGCCTGCCCTGCCCGTGCCCTCCTGGGAGCCCGCATCCACCTGGCAGTGCTGGAATGAGCTGTGACCTGGCAGCAGGAAGAGCGCGGGGCTGCCCCAGGGCTGCCCCGTCCCATCTTCTGCCGCTCAGGCAGCGCGGGGAGAGGGCACAGCCGGCAAGAACTGCCCACAAAGGACTGTCCCAATGCTAGCCCCAAACCCACAGCTGGGACTACAAAGCTGAAGCGCAGAACAGCCCCCAGATCAGGAAAACAACTGGCCATGGGCTACAGGACCATCAACACCAGGCCTAGCTAAAGCTCAACACAGTCTCAGTAGAGCCTGCAAGTACTGGCTAAGGTATTTTTTCTTCATTTCTATTTTCAATAGAGCGCCTCTCTCTTTTCAGCCCACAGCCAATTACACATGGCAACACTCTTCAGATCTGGTAAGAGCCTACTCCCTTCATGGGCAGAAATGTTTCTTGCCTCTCTTATGGCCATGTGGGCGTAGCCAGGCTCCACAGGAAACCTTGCCAAGACTGCCTTCCTCAAGGGTTAATTAGACCCAACCAAATTCATTCTCCCATTTATTTTCTTTTTCTACCCCCTTCCCAACTGCAGTCCCACGGACAACTGGGTGGCTTCTCATTCACTCTCCTCCAAGTCACCAGGCACTGCTCTGCCTCCCTTGACCATCACAACTGATGAGGTAACTCACCTGCTTCAAGTGCCACAGAGGGCTTGAGTGCAGCTGCTGCCAGCCTGGCCATCATAGGAGAGATTAATCCCTTGCTAGCAGAGATCCTTTCCATTATAGAGGCTGCTGGAGCAGGAGAAGAAGTAGCCACTGGCTCACCAGATCCTGAAACTGCCTGGGATGAGGAATCTGTAGGAGCAGATGATGCTGGATTGGTGCCAGAAGAACCAGCAGTCATCAGATTAGCCGAGGTGGCAGGAAGTGGTGTAGAGACCCGACTGGGGATGATGGGGAAGAAGGATCCAGCTGTTCCAGGAAGTGCTGAGTTGGAGAGTGCCAGGGCCAAGGGTATATTGCTAGGAAGAGCCTGGGAAAGCAGGCCAGAGATCTTTGTGGCTGGTGTCATGCTGTTGGCAGACTTGGCGGCCTGTGAGGAAGCAAGCTCAGCCGCAGAGGAGGGCGCAGCTGGGACGATGAGAGAAACGGAAGACTGCTGACTGGTCGGGGAGGCACTCAGGCTGGAGTTCTTGGAGCTCATGGCGGAGAAGTCAATGAGGTCATCGTTACTGGACTCCTCTTGCTCATTATCCTTGGGGCCCAGGAGTGAGGCAGGCAGGCCCAGCACTCCTGAGCTCCGGATGTGCCGGCGCTCGTGTTTGCGTTTATGGGAAGTCATCTGGCTGGTGGAGGTGAAGGTGAAACCACAGCCTGCCCTTATGCAGTGGAAGTGGTTGGTGGCCTTGCTGTAGACACAGCCCTCATACTTGCATTCCTCGTATTTGTAGAACTTCTTGAAGCCATCCTTGGCATAGGCATCATCTTTGATGTGGTAGCTCTTGTGCTTCTCAATGTCACACTTGTTCTTGAAGGTGAATGTACACCCGGGTCTCCTGCAAGGGCATCGAGGAGAGGGTGGTTGGCTGTGATGGCAGAGCTGCTGCCTCCCACCTCCCTCTAGGACAAGGGCTGGGGCTGTAATGAGACAACTGCCCCAGCTGCAGAGGGGCTGAGGAGCTGCCTCTGGATTAACCTGGGACACCCAGGCCAGCAGATTTGCGGCCATGTGGGAGAGCTGGGAAGCTCACTCCACTCTGTGGAACTACCACAGAACATGGGAATACAGGCACCCTCCACTAAAAGTTCCAACAAAACAGCCGGTAAAGGGGACTAAGGTACAAACTGTGCTTTCCTACTCTTCCTGAAAACCCAAGAAATCAAGAGAAGAGCAGTTGCGTACAGAAGGCTACGTCTGGCCCCAAAAGGGATGAGCTGCCTGGAGAGAACCCTACCATGGAAGTGCCATTAGCAGCATTAATGGACTACAATTGCACTCTGAAGAGCACTGTGGTCTCTTTCCCAAATTATTCTAGGCTCTGTTTTCTAGTGGGTATCCTCTCCTCAGATCACACTCCTGCCTTCAGAGTGGTCTGTGGCACAATCCTGGAATTCACATCTCTACTCTGTTACACGAGTTCTCCCAGAAGCAATACTGAGAAGGTCACAGCAGGGCAAATCAAGTCCCTGTGCATCCTCCTGAAATTATGACTTGGCAGAAGGAGGCAAACAGACCACAGAGCTGAGAGGCAGGACTCCTCCCCTTCCCTGCTGTCTCACCTGCAATGGAAGTGAGTGGTTTTCTGCCCGTAGAACTGGCATTCCACGGTGCCGCAGTCCTCCGTGGCACGGAACCGCTGGAACCCGTCGTTGATGAGCTGCGTGTTCTTCTTGTGAAAGTTCTCGTGGGTCATCACATCAGAGGTGCTTGTATAGACCTTGTTACAGCCCACCTACCCCGGGCCCAAAGAGGAGTCATCAGCACAGTGGTTTAACAGCCTGACATTATTACCAGCAGCAATAAATACATGAGTAGCAAACGTACATTTAATAGTTCCATTTGTGTGCTTCTCCTAGGGGTATTAAGTCATCACTTTAATTCCCAATCTAAAGACTGATAGAGCATAGAGCAGTTGTGGAAAAAAAACCAAATACAAACCAACTCTCTGGGCATGAACCAGTGAGAAAAAAAGGGAGGACTGGAGGGATAAAATACCAGCTCCAGACAATCATGCCTGCTTGGGGAAGCAGTTAGTAGGGCTCCTGCTCTTAAAGAGAACAGAACACTAACAGATGCTGTTGCTTTTTGTTATCTTGGAGTGACACAGGACAAAGTAGGATTTCATCTATTTGGGGAATACAAAATTGAGTGGGAATAAGTTATTTACTTCTCCAGTCCTTCTGGGAGGTAAGGCATGCTGGTGCAACATGAGGCCAACCAGTCGTTCAAGCTTGTAATAAACGGTTTCATTCTAGCAAATCTTAAACCCCATGTTCAGCTGATTTTAGCAAACTGGTGACTTTTTTGCCCTGTTACTGTTCAAGACTCCCACTTCAATAATTTTAAACTTGTGCAGTGAATGGGAATGCTGTGATGAGGACGGAATGCTGAAAACCTGCTTTCCTCTGGGTAAAGCGGGGCAACTTTGCCATATTGAGTAAAAACCCACTGGAATCTGAAAACGTCCTCAGCCCTGCTGAGGGAGGATTTTTTTCCTTTTCTTCTAGCACAACATGTGCCAATGCCTGCACCATCTCAGAAATGAAGAGAAGGAAAACACCACCCCTTAGTTCAGCCCAGGTTGATTCAAACAGGCAATAACAAAACCCATGACAAATACCCAGAGAAAAAAATAAAAAGGATCTCCAGCTATTTCCAATATAAAAGAGCCTCTCTCTCTCCACACTGACACCTTGAAAAAAGACAGGCCCTGCATGGCATTAAAAAAAAGAATTAAACAAAAGCGTCCTTAGGAATAATTTGCAATGCAGCTCTTGGTGCGAAAGCCTAAAAAAATGTCAGTTTATATAAACAACTAACTGAATTTTATCCACACCAATTATGGACATAAAGAAAAAAACCCCATGTGATGGATGGCACAAATTCTGCCATTTAAGCAGTATTTTCTTTAATTGGGAGTTTATATTCTGACACCTTTCCTGTAAGGCACTGCTTACATGGGCATGACTTTACTGGAAGACAGTGGGCACAGGATGGAATTAGCCATATATAGCTGTGTAAGCGAGGGTCTCTATTTGAACTTGGAGTGGCTTAACGCTGTGAAGCACTCCTTGTACTCTAAAAAAAAAATCAAGCAAATCCCACCCTGCCCAACTGAAGAAACTAAATAGTCAATATTATGGAAGTGGTAACAGAAAATGTCCTCAAGAGAAAGACACATGAAATTCCCAATTTATCAAATGCTGCAAGCACATGCTTCAACCAGTCCCTATTCAGGACAGAACTTGAGTGCATGCCTAACATTTAAGTATGTGCTTAAGCCCCATTGACTTCAGAAAGCTTCAAGTTAAACATATGCTGAAGTCTATCCTAGCAAAGCATTTAAGCATGTGATTAAGGCCTTGTGACTTTAACTGGGGTCTTAAACTGCAGGTCAGGAAGTGAGCTTGACTTTCCAGACAAGAAAATCTGGCACCAAGGGTTGGCTGATCACTCTGCTTGTAACCACACGTTTTCAGGGCAATGGTTTAGGCCACAATTCTACTAAAATGAGTACACATCAAACCTTTGAACCTGAGGAATTATCAGGGTAAGACCCAAACAATGTGGTGTGTTCTTGTCTAAAACAGTGAAGGCATCACAGTGACACCTGTGCAGCAGCTCCAGCTCTGGCTACACTGCTGAAGCTTGGCTGGCCCTTAAACATGGCTCTCAGCCTACACCACACGAGTGCCACCGGCAAAGGACATGGAGAACCTGGGGTGTTAAGTGCAGATATGTGACTTTAAGGTTTAATTATTTTAGAAATTGATTATGGAGGAAATTAACCCAGTGCTAAAGGGCAGATGTGCCACAAGAAAGTCTGGTTTCAAGGGAGGGACAGATCAGATTTGAGTAGAGACAGTGCAGTAGCATTAAAGAAGTCCCTGAGTCTCAGAGAATGGGACTTGCTTCAATAAGTCCAAGACTTTGAGAAAACCTTGAGACCTGCTTTGCCTCACTGCATGGACAAGGCTTCTAAAACCTGAGAATGGGCCTTCCCTTTGCCATTCCCAACACTCGACACAAGTGCAGTAAGGACAGGGCACAGACTTGTCAATGAGGCTCCTGAACCAGAAGGGAGCAGGACAGGCTCTGCATGTACCCCCTCTGCCTCAGGACAGCCCCATGCTCTCTGACAGGAGAGCGTTGGGTGGCCAGGACTCGGGAATGCTCACAGACCCCCAGGAGCGGCTCCTGCGCGGCTCCTGCGCTCAGTGCATGCACTGGCACGCTCCCCTGCATGCAGCAGCACACTCACCTGCATGCAGTGGTAGTGAGTGCTCTTCCCGTTGAGGTGGCAGCCGTGGTAGTACACGCTGCAGTCGTCCAGGGGGCTGAAGCGCATGAAGCCATGCTGCAGGGAGTTATCACGTTTCTTGTGCATGTTGTAATGCCGAATCACATCCTGTTTACTGGTGAATCTCTGCACAGATACAGACACAGACAGTGAGACACGCATGATGCCAGTGGGTGAGGAATCCTGGGGGCAGGGTGGGTGTCTTTTGTTGTTGTTAATAAACTTATGGGACCAGGAGTTGAAAGCTTGGCAGTAATCACCCCAAGAGAATCAGATTAAAGAGGAGTTTGTGTGCATGTATCTTCTTGGTAAAGGGAAAGTAAATACACAAGTTCTAGAGTAAACATGACACTGGGGTGATGCCCAGAATCTGCTCCCTGCAGCTTTAAGATTGCAGGTCTTCTAACATAATTTTAGCTGCTACTATCTCAAGAAGTGCTATAGTTAGAAAGCAAACCAGTGAACTGAACAGCCTACAAGCAACTAAGCCAAGCTTCCAAGTCACTCACTGTAGTGGTTAGCAAGACACTGGCACATTCACGTCGGACTAGAAATCGGGAAAAACCCTTTGCTCTTTTACACTGTCCTCCCACTCTAAGTCTCTTGCATCCCCTAGAAGGTAGGATAGTTTTATCAGGAAAACAGGGACATAAGACTTTCTTCAAGTCACAGAAAAAGATGCTTTTCTACAGAAAAATAGAGGTCAGAGCTAAATCTGTATGACCAGAATATCCTTTTCAATCTCTACCTGCTAGAAGCGATGAAGGGGTACCCCACTGTCAGAGGAGGCTAAGTGCCTTTAAAATGAAGCTTTTTATTTCTATTTCCCACAGACATCAATATTTACCACTGAAGGTGAGAAAGTAAATCTGATTTTTTTAAAAGAAATCAATATCCATTTATTTTGAGCAGTAATTGAAAAGGCCTGTATTCTAATGTTTAACAACTTTTCTAGTCTGCCTCATAGGAAACAAATGATTATCACTTCCACTCTTTCCTTCTATAATATCAATCCTGATCAATCTCATTGGTATTGGCACGGGAATATATGGATATAGATTTCAACAGAAATCCCTCGGAGGCTGGAGCCATGATTTCCCAGGGCGTACATACAGGATTGCTATTGCCAATCATTGTTAATTTGTGCCCACTTATTACAAAGCGTTACTTATTCTAAAATATATCTCAGCCATAAAATAATTTGCATTTTAAAAAGCAGCCTAAATCCTTATTCCCTGTGAGACCAGACAGCTCCTTTGCAAGCAGCTTCCAGACTCCTTAGGAAATAATCATGAGGCCAATCATAATAATAGGTTTTTCTGTTTTTCCATCCTTTGTGTTTCTCTCTTTCTGGTGCAGGGATATCTGTGTCACAGTTGGGATAGACTCATCTTGATTACTCGATGCTGGGCTGGAAGGACCAGTAAGTGCATCCTGGAGAGAAACTCTCCTTTGATCAATAGAAACCCACAGCCAAGCCCAGCAGCTCCAGATCTGCTTCCTCTGCTGTGGTCAGGCTCATCCCCATGAGACCCAAAGGTCTCCGAGGGCAGGGCTGGAGCTGTGTCTGCTGCACGGCAGAGGCAAACTCTGGGATTCCTGCTCACGCATCAGCCTGACCACAGAAATGCCAGTGTCAAACTCTGGACCTGGGATAAGGGTAAACAAACACAGCACGTGACCTGCTGGCTTGACGTGCATACCCTGGCAATTCTCCCAGCAATTACAGCATCACTCCTACCCCCGCGCCTTCCCCACAAATCCCACACCGCTGCTGGTCTTACTGGGTGTTTTGTTGCAGATACTGCTGCTACAAAGTCACTCGGGCAGCAGGAGGGAAAGAGACAGACTAACAGATCAGCATTCCCTAGTTTCAGGCACAGTTTGTCACATAGCACAATTTATACTCCTGGTGTTTCACTGATATAAATGTGGAGTAGCTCCCACTGACCTGAGCTGATCTATATTCAGCTCCTCATTGTAGCGGTCTGAGTTTGGTTAAACGGTATTAGATTGAGTCAAACGGGAGCAAAATAAAGTTCTGTTAAATTCAGAACATATCCTGTCCTCTTTCAGAGCAGCACAGTGCAAAGGCATGTGCATGCACGTGAGAGGAAAGCACAGGAGGAGACGCTCCCCCGTAGGTTCTGCTGCTCTACCTGGTAGTTGCACTCGGGGTCGAGGCAGTGGTAATGCTCTCTGTACTGGTAGGCGCAGTGTATGTGTCCACAGTGCTGACTGCCAGAGAACCTGCAAACAGGAGAGAGGGAGAGACAATGAGCCACTGTCCCGGCAGCAAGGTACAAATAAACCAAGTCCTGTTCCTGCTTTCATCTCACATGGTTATGGCATTAAACCCCACCTCCTTTATCCCCTCCAAGGATGGTGACCCTTGTGCCTTCCCCTGCTTATTTGTCACTATTTAAGGGTGCTTCTTGAGCCGGATCACGCAGGTCCTGTACATCCCTAATCTGTCTTTCCCCTCGAAATTCATCTCCGTTATCTAAGTTGTTTACTTGGGGAAGCATATGGAAGGAGGGTTCCTAGAACTAAACACCACACAATTCTAGAATAGAATTTAGATATCCCACCAGCAAGTTTCTCCCACGACAGAAGGAGACAAGTAAGTGTTGGCAAAATATGGATTCTAAATTTTAAGTACAAGCCCACCTAGTAGGATATCAGAAAAGCTGCATATGGCCAAGTTGAAAACTCCTGACATACAGGGTGGCAAAAAAGACCAGAAAGACAGAAATGCCGTGTAATACCTACATACAAACAGTCAGTATGCAGAATTTATTGACTGACAGACACACCAGGAATTGGCACAAGGGGATGATCCAGTAATGGGATAATCAGTGCAATGAACTCCCTTGTGTATATTCTAGAGGACCCTAGAAGAGCTTGAAAGGGAAAAGCAGTGGAGAGAAGGGGACTCAGAGGGGAAACATTCAAAGATAAAGTACCATCTGCTCAAAGGTTCCTCAAAGGTTCCTCACGTCACTTAAGTGCTAAACACAGCAGGAGTGCCTATGATAAAGGGCATGGGAAAGAAATGAGGAAGGGCAACAGATAAAAAAGGAAAATGAGAGAAGTGAGGGTGTCCTGGGGCAACTGAGGAATGGGGCAGGAGCAGGGAAGATTACAGATCATAGTAAGGTGAGGTAACACGAGGCTATGGGGTAGAAAAAGTCTAGATGAAAAGCAATACTAAATAAGCCATTTCTGAAGCACAGTAAGGAAGAGGAGGTCAACTGTGGAGACAGCAGGGCCTCTAGGAGATGGAAAGGGGACTTAATTGACAGAAAAGATAGACATTGCTAAAAAATTAAATGACTTCTTTGCCTCAGCATTCACAAAGGGAGACAGGGACAGATGCCAGGAGCAGACATGCCTTTCCCTGGGGAAGGAGAAGAAATACTGCAGGAAATCAGGATCACGTCAGAACAGGTGATTGAGAAACTGGAACAAACCTCAGCAGCAGAGAAGAAACAAACCACAAAGCAAACAGCAGGGCTGGCTGCACAAACAAAGGTGTGGAACTGAGAGCAGAGGAAGAGATTCCTGCTCGATGCCTGGGCAACTGCTAGGCTTGTCCAGGGCAGCTGCCAGAGCCACCGTGGCACTGACCAGGGATGTGTGGCTCCACAGCACAGCAACCAACTGGTCCTGCCAGGCCAGGGCTTTATGTCAGCAGCACCACCAGCAGCTCTTCAAGGAAAGAAGTGCCCTGTGGGAAGCTTCCTCTCTATTCCACTGATGTGGTGGGGAAAAAAGAGCAAAGGGCTGTGCAGGGCTGGAGACCTGTGCGGTGCAGGCCAGGCAGAGAGAAGAGGATGAATCAGACCTTGCTGACAAATACAAAGCAGTTCAAATTATTATCAAAAATGAGGATGCAAAGTGACCAGAGATACCAGCTGGAGTAAAAGAAGGGCCAGACATCAACAAGATCTGACTCCAGGAGAGGAGTTACTTGAAGCACCCTAGCAGAAATAACACATGGGCTTGGTTTTAAAAACAACAGCTAAACAAGCACTCCAGCACTTCCAACTCCTACCCTCCTTACCATGTGCCACGGAAAGGTGTGTGTGGTGTCTACAGCACAGGAAGGGAGAAACAAGTGTTCCACCAAGCCGTGTGCTGGGGGAAGGAGGGAAGTGGCAAACCCAGCACACAAAGGGGAAATTCTGCTCCTTCAGTGGAGCAAGGTTGGGCTCCTAAAGGGTTATATTATCCTGTGTTTCTTCTGACACTTGAAACAGTTCAAAGCTATTAATTTTTAAAGCGCAGCATCTGTTTAGGTTTTTCATAACAGGAAAGCTTACACACCACACACTTACACACATACACACAAGCACATTTATATGCACACACTCTACAGTACATCCACACCCCCTGAACTTACTCAAACATACCCAGTTTCCATGCACATGAACAGACACAAACACACACACCTGAAACAAGAAACTCACAGACCAGCTCCTCACACTGAAATGCAAATCCAAACTCCTAAGTTGTCAATACAGACATGTAGATGCAATTGCACAAGAACAACCCACTCCCTCTTCCTTTACATTAATCGGTTCACCTTTTTTTTTCTTTGACCAGAAAGTCTTGATCTGGCAAGAGTTGATAAATAAATAATAATAAAAATAATAAATAAAGAAGTCAGCATGCTTAGAGAGTGTTTACAGACTCATTACTCTGTAACGATGATGTGAAAGAAGAAAAAAAAAAACCCACCCCAATTACAAGGGGGGAGGAAACCCACACAGAAATAAATATTTAAGCAAGTGCTGCCAGAAGCACCATCTGCTGAGGCACTAATAATAATAATAATAATTTTTTCTGTGGTCTTTTTTTTTTTTTTTTAATTATAAATATACAGGGAGGAGGAGGGGGAAAAACAACCCAACCCAAACTAGCTAAGTAAGAGGTTTTGTTTTGTTGTGTGAGAGAATGGATTATCCCTGGGCAGCTTTTGGCAGTGGCTTTGGCAAACTCATTAAGCTAATTATGCAGTACAGACATAAGAGTGCTGTGTCTCCTCTCCCCCCACCCCTTGATTTTAAGGCTTTAAACTGTTTTTTTCGATGTGTGTAAATTGAAGGGAAGTGGCTGTGCTGGCAGCGGGTGGCTTGCGGAGCCTTTTAAGCAGGATGTGGTGTCCCTGAGGTAGCTCACAATCCTCTCTCAGCTACCTGCCTGACCCAGGGAAAGGGGCTTGCACAGCTCCAAAAGCAGTGGATGTGGCTGAAGTGTTTACAGTTCCCTACTTGAGAGGGGAATGGGGGACAGAAAGGTGCCACCTCCTCTCCCACTGCAATTCCTACAATTCCTGCAATCTCAGAAATAAAAGGATGCTAGCTGCTCCTGCCCCATGCAAAGAGTGGTTTAAATCCCTGCTTTCCTTCCAATATTCTGTATACTGTACTGTCCCTCGAGGCAGTGAATTCCCACATGCACTTGAGGCATTGCTGCTAGAGGAGCTGCCTGTGGTAGCACAACTGTCCTCTCTTCCCATGGGGTTTTCTGCCCTCTTCTCCTACATCTGGGATTTGGGCAGAAGGGAGGAGATTATGTCGCTTGTCGTTCCACTCTTGAGCTAGGAGAGTGCTGTTCCCACTCTTTTTCCCTGCCAAAATGTTCCCTTTACTTTCCTAGCAGCTGACTGTCTCCCACAAGGAGATTCTCTCTGGCTCTGGTAAGGTGGGAAAGCACAGTACACACTCCCTTCCCCTTTCATTAATAAGTGCCCAAGTGCTGGGAGCAAACCCTCCCGTTTTTTCCCTGGAGAGAAGGGTTTGCTTGCTTCCCTCGTGTCCGTCTGGATACAAGGGACTTTTGTTGGGAGCCTTCTCACATTACTGAGGGAGGATTCAACTGGCTGGGGGCAAAGCCTGATGGACCCTTTACGCCATGAGCTCTAAACCAGGCAGGTGTTTTGCAATCATCTCCTCTGTCCCTCTGGCTCTTGTGGCATTACTCACTTTGTCCCACCACAACAGCCTTGGGCTTCCTCTCAGCATCACTGTCCTGACCTAAGCATGCCCACAGCTGTGATAAGGTGCCCTACTCTGCACCTGATTCAGTGAGGGTTTCTCAGAGAAATGAGCTGCAAAAATTTTGTAGGATAAACATCCCATGTTGATGCCAATAGTTCCCTAAACTCAAGTCACCTGTAAATCTCTCTAGCCTAGATTCTCAGAGCTGAGATGCTCTCTGCTTGCCTCCTGCAGACATGGTAGAGGAAAAAGGCAGAGGACAGAAAGAACAACAGCCAAGAGGCAGAACTCCCATTTAAATCCTGGGCTTCTTCAGTGAAGCAGTTTTCCACTATTTGTCACACAGTCTAACAGCTCCAGGCAGCTAAGCATGCTCTTGGCGTGACTGCATACCTCTCAGAGCTACTGCTCTCCCAAGCAGGGGGACAGAGCAAGTACAGATGCCACGGGAAATGGAAGTGCCAATGTCTGGTTTAAACACTTGATCCACACAAGACCTCGTCTCTCCCACCACCACTCCATCTTCTTACTCCCAGCCCTCTCCCCAGCAAAGTCAAAAGTTTTGCCTACCTGGCAATATACTTCTGGTAAATATTTACATCTTCGCTGACGGCTGGTTTGTCAGTGGGTAATCCATTCCTAATGGGAGACACACAGGGCAGAGCTGGTTAGCAGGAACAGGGCACAGCTTAAACTCCTTGTTTCTCTCACACACTGCTGACAGATCAGGAGAGAGGGCCCAGGGAAGGGTACCAGCAAAGACACCCATAAGTTTAAATTCCCTCCCCTTTGCCCTTCAAATCCTGTACCTTCTTTTCCCAGGGAAACACACAGGCTGTCTACCGCCCTTCCTGCATGTCCCCTCTTTGCAGGACTCAGAGCAGTTTGTTGGAGAAACTGAGAAGACCAACCACAAAAATTTTTCTGTTTCTACAGAAAAATGCCTATGCAAAAAAGTGATGGCCACATGCAAACACCTCTCTGAGGCAGCTGGCAGTGCTGCCCTTGTGTGCACGGGAGCTTTGCCCCTGGCTCACCTGCAGGAGAAGAGTCTCTCTGCCAGCCATGTTGTGAGCTATTGCCCATTTCCTGTGGCCAGCAGCCCTGCAGCTCTATGACCAGCACTGGAACAGTGGCTCCAGCCCCTGGATGGGGCTTAAAATGCCTCTTTGTTTTCAGATACCCCAAAACTCAAACAGACAGATTCTGTATTTTAATCAATGAGAAAAACACCCCATAAGTGTCACATAAGCCTGGATTATTTTACTTTGTTAGGAAGCAGATAAAAATAACATCCTTAGTGAGTTCAGGAAGAGGGAAAATGAGATGCAGGGCCAGACTCCAGCCCCAAGACATAGGGCCACTCCAGTGCACCTCCAGACAGGCTGCACACCATCTTCTTTGTGTGCTTTGCCTGTGCCCAACCTCCACTCCACCTCCTTGCAGCTCTGCACCCTGGTTTAAACAAGGACACTTTCGCACAGAGCTCACGTGAAGGTAGATGAGTTCAGGGCAGGTTAATGGCGTTGGATCTAAGAGAGTTTAAACCCATGGCAAGGGTGTATGTGCAGATGTGTGAGAGTAAAGGGTAATTCCTGCCAGGCTACTGAACCCAGTGGGGACGGGGAATGGGAAGCCACAGCCCAGATATCGCAGCCAGCACTTCCTTCACCAGCACAGTTAATGGGCTGCTGGCTTTTATCATGGAAGCTTCTATCTAGTGAGTAGCCTGAAGGAGAAGGGACCAGAGCCCATTCTGTACTGCAGTGTGTGATCAGGACACTGGAAGTGCCAGGTTGAAGGCCATGGTCACCTCCATTCCAGCTGCAGCCCCATCATGATGTCCTGGTGGAGGAAGTCCTGTGGCCAGCGGAAGGCTCACCATGGTGCTGGCAAACCCACATCTGGCAAGAGGCAGGACACAAGCAAGAGAAAGGGAAACAAACTGGGATCCCATGCAACACCACAGCAGATAAGAAGCTTGCTTATCTTGCTTGTGCCCTTAGGCACAGCTCTAGGACGGCGACTGAGCCCCAGGCAGCTGAGTGTTCTCAAGACACTGCAGGCACAGAGTCTTGGACCAAGTCACCTGTCACAACAGGGCGCTGAGTCTACAGGAATATTTACATCACTGTGGTTTTAAGTAATAGGAGTCCCTGCCTGTCATCTGTAGCACATACAGGTTCATCCTGAGCAGGACCCTGAGCGTCCTGAGCAGATGCAGATGTTAATAATCCTCTATCTTTTCCCATACACCTTCACCATGGAGCTCCCCATCTGCCTGCAGGCAGTTGATAGAACAACCATTTCACATGGAAGACAGGTATCATGACATGGCTCTGCCTTCCACAAGGGGAATCAGGGAAAGTGGGTGAGAAACAAGTAAACCCAAACCATGACAAGAAAGCGGAGAAGTCTCTCCCTTCCTCCCTGCTGCAGCCTGACGTACATATGTATCTCTTCTACAGCTCCCACCTCTGGAAGGCACATTAAAAAGTAATCCAAGGTTTGGCAAGGCCTTCAGATACCTCCATTCCGTCAATGGCATCACTGCAGAGACTGCTGGCAATGTATGTGCAGGAGGTTATTAGTGGTAATTGGGCTAATGAGTTTGCCCAGTCTGAGGGGTAATTGAATCATCTCTATTTGTGTAAGCAAATTGAGAAGACACAGGCCTGGCCCCACAGAAGTAGGTATATGCCTAACTCCTATGGAAATTGATGGGAATTAGGCACCAAAATGTCTTCTGAGTTCTGGGACAAACAAAAAGCCTCATCTTGCTAACAGTAAAGTCAGCAGAGTCATGCCTTTGAGTTAAATGGAAACAAGAATCACACATCCAGATGCCTGGGAAACCAGAGGGAGAAGAAAATAAAGTAGTTCCAACCTTGACCTTAAGAGTGCTGACAGCACCATGTTCCCTCCTCTTTCATATGAACTCAGGAGCATTTGGACTCCAGATTCATGGCTATGACTGCTGATGGCAGGTCACAGCCTTAGTGCAGACCAGATAAATAGAGATGTAAGGCGTAAAAGAGGAGCAGGCACTTTGACAGAGAGCAAAGAGAACCATCCCATGAACAATGCAGTATTTAACAGTGCAAGAACTTGGAATTGCCCACTGAACCACACACAGACTTGTGGTATGATCCCTCACTAGTACTTAGATAAGAAAAGTGGGAGTACACTTACTTTACTGTGGAGACTGTTCCAGTTGTGATGGAGTCTGTCTTGGAGAAAGTTGATTTCAGGTACTCAGGAGTGTTGAATGGCAATGAGATGGACTGCTCTGGCCCGGCCACAGGAGTGCTGCTGGGGGTACTGGTGAGGGAAGCAGGGGCCAGGCTGGGGACTGGAGCTTTTACTGGAGTGAGCTTCTGAATGTTCCTCACATCATACTTGGAAGGCCGGCCTACCTTGCCTGTCTTGAAGGCGATGGCTCCTCCCATATCTGGGCTTCCTTCCCCAGGCTTGAAAAGGTGCAAGTACTTGACATTTTCTAGGTCATACTTGGAGGCCTTCTTGTAAGTGTTGCCATTTTGGGGCCTGATGCTCTCACCCGTCTTCAGCTTTTGAATGAAGAAGTCATATTTGGAGGCCCGTGACATCAGGCCCTGCATCTGGGAACTGCTGGGAGAGGGCAGTGGCAGGATAGTGGCTTTGGTCTCCGTCAGCATGGAGGCGTCTGGACCTGGCACGCGAATGGGCTGTGCCAGCACCGAGGACGGCTCTTTCCCCAGCTTGGAGCCCAGCTCCTCAGATTTGGCCAGGTGCAGGGGCCACGAGAGCTGCTCTCCAGCTTTCAGCTTGCGGATGTACTCCTCGTACTTGGAGAAGCGGGCTCGCTTGCTCATGGCATCTTCGCCGGGGAGGGAGGCAGCAGCCGCCGTGGCCTCTGAGGTAGCAGCGTTCAGCTTGTCGAAGCTGATCTTGCGGGCCAGCTCATCGCGCATGTTCTGGTCGTCGTAGCCGAACATGCCCAGGAACTCGTTCATGGTGGTGGCGGCGTAATCCCGCAGTGATGAAGCTTCCCCTGCAGCGAAACCAGAGGAGAGGCTCACACAAGGCACTGATTTTTCTTCTCCTCCCATACCAGCACTAGTAGTGGGGGGGGAGGAAGGGGAGAGGGGAACATGATCTACTGACGTTTGGCTCACTTGTTAGGTTTTATGACTCTTAAATTAATTTGTTTAAAAAAAAAAGTAATTAATACTGGGGTAAAATAAAAAGAGTTCATCAATGCCAGGAAAATCAATTTCCTAAATGTTCTAGCCGATGGCTTTTCAGTACATTAAACAAAGTTTCATAAATGTCTCTGCACTCTTGCCTTGGCCTAATATGAAGAAAAAGTAATTTTACTGGAAGTGAGACCAATGCCAATATGCCGAGGTTTGTACAGATCTGTCCTTGTGTATACTTGTGTATGGAAGGAGGTGCACAGAGGATAGATGGCAGCATGTGTAAGAGGGAAAACCTGTGTGAAAATGCTGTGTGTGTTAGTGAAGAGCAAGCCGGGCTGAGAGCAGGCAGGACAGCATGGTGTGAGATGGATAAGGGAGACGGGCAAGGCAACGTATGGGGTGGAGCAGGAGGAGGGCAGAATGGAACATGCAGAGAGGAGGAAAGCAGCAGAGGTGGAGATGAGTCAAGGCAGGGGAAGAGCAGCAAAGGCTGTGTACACAAGAAACCTGGCAAGAATGAGGAGTGCGGGAAGGAGAGGAGAAGAGAAGGCAAGACAAAGACAGATCAGTTCCCCATCACTGTTGCAGTCCTTCCCTTCCCTTTCTTTTCAATTTTGTAAGGATTCACTCAGCTTGCTCTCTTCCTTCTCAATCCCTGTAACTGGACAGCTACTACATGACATGTGGAAAAGGGCCACAGTCCAGTGAATGCTATGGAAACCTACAGGCAGCCTCTCAGGCAGCCAGGAACAGCTTCCAGTAACACCAGGAAAGGGGAAAGTCCACATAGCTGAAAAATAGGTAAGGAACAGCCTTCCCTCCATCAGGATTTAGACTGAGGAGAGAAAGCTGTTGTCCTGATGTGGGCTCCAGGGAGGGGGAGAAAGCCAGTGCTCTGGAGCATGGGTTGGGGAAGGGGTTAGTCTCATGAGGCCAGATTACAGGGAGGAAGAATGAGCAAAAGCTGTCCTTTAGGTCTCTCCCTCCCCTACTCCCTCAGGCAGTTTCGCAGCCCACCATGATGAGAAGAACACACATCTGGAGGTCACCCACTATCAGTGTAAAGGAGGAAATAAAAACTGCTCTGATGCACCGGCCTGGCCTCGTTTAGGCTTCAGTCTGACACGGCGCTCCTCCTCCTCTCCCTCTTGCATTCTCCTGCAGAGTAAAGATTTACTGTGTGCAGGAGTCCTTCAAACCTCCCTCATCATCTTTACTCAACACTTGCTCTGGCTGTAATGGGCAAGCACATTCCTTCCCAGGCAGCCAGCACAGGGAGGTACACTGGCAGCAGAAGGGAAGTTCTGGGCATGGGGTCCCACTCAAAACAAAGCAACACTGCCTTGAAACACAGTGGAAAAGGAAGGCACCGAGACGCTGCCACAGAACAGGTCAGTAGATCCAAAAGATGCCTAAGATGTGGGGAATCTGACAGCCAGTGGTGCCACTTGCACAGGCAGGCACGTACACGAGAGCGTTTCCGCGCACGCAAGAGCCTGTCAATGAGCGCAGTCGAAGTTCAATAGCCATCAGCTCCCACAAATCAGTTTTCACAGGACTCTATGGAGGAAAAGACTGCCTGTGACGGGCACTAAATGGGCAAGACCATGAAGGTCACATTCCTGCTCCAGGATTGCCTGGAATAGCTGTTTTACTGCAGCAGAAGTGCTGCTACACTGGTTCCCTGTGTACGTGGTTCTGGGGGAAGGCGATGTGAAGAACACGCCCAGAGCCTGCAAGGCAGGGGACAAAGCCACACCTGCTGGGATCTAGCTTAGCCCAACATGACCTTCCAGCTCCAGGCACTTAAGCCCAGCATTCTGCATGGGATTTGGGATGCCTGACTCCAGAATAAACACCCTGTTAGTCACAGAATGGGTGGCAATGCCGCTGCGGTGTCAGGCTCAGGGCATAGCACAACCTCAAGGGTTGGTATTAATCTTCCAGGATGTTAAATGCAGAACCATTCCTCACTGGGTCCAGCAACAAGACTTGCCTGAAGGACAACTTTGTCTTTCTCACACAGCACATTAAAAAATTTCATTCTGCTTTAAAGCAGTTCTCCTCTTCACCTCTTTTTTTTCTTTTCCCACTTCCATTTCAGTGTAACCCTATGACCCAACAAAAGAGAATGAACCCATGAAATCCCTACTGGGTCTAACAATTTCCTGTTTCTGTTCAATTTGCTTTCCCTGTTCTGCTTTTCCTTTCTTTTTGGACCAGCAAAACAACCCTCAGCTTTGCTCATAATGCCCTGATTTCCAAGCACTGCACAGAAAAACTCTAGCCAGCCTGTGTCAAGCTGCAAGGCAAAAAAGAATTCCACACTGAGGATGTGATACAAAATGAAACTATTAAATGAGACACTGCACAGAAAAACTCTAGCCAGCCTGTGTCAAGCTGCAAGGGAAAAAAAGAATTCCACACTGAGGATATGATACAAAATGAATCTATTAAATGAGATTTTTTGCTAGCTTTAGCCACTTCCCTGAAAGGCAGTGTGCCCCATCTTTGGTACCATGTGGCTATACCTCAGCTGTTGTAAACAGTTAGATGCAAAATCCAAGCCTATGGGAAAGGGGAAAGGGGGTGTGCAGACCTTCTTTTGAGCTTTGTGAAGTCTGAGTTCAGCTTTCCTGTCATGGATATAATTTCCAAACCCATCTTGAATTCTGCTTTTCCTTTGCTCAGATTTGGTTCCCAATGATGACAACACCCTCCCTGCTTTGCTGGTGTTGCTCAGTCTCTCCTCACCCACATTTCTCAAATGCTCTGGCCAATTCCCACTGCTCACTGCCAGGAACTGCAGCTCTACTCATCCAGCATGAGCCCAACAAGCCCAACACATCCCCTGAAGTTAAGACAACCTGCATTTAATTGCTCAGGCACCTAACATGAAGGACAGAGGCTCCTCCAGTGGAAGCACCCTGTTACAGAAGGGAGCTGGCTCACCAGAAGGATCGTATGAGATTCAGCCACCTCACTTCAAATACACTTTCAGACAACAGTGAAGAGGTAATTGGTATTACCTAACTGACAGAAAACCCTCCTCATTTCCACAAACAGACAAAAACGAAGCAGGACAACAGTTGGGAAACACTGCCTGTGAGGAGTCCTGGAAGCCACAGGAAGCATTATCCCTGTGTTTTCCTCCCCCTTTCTGCACTGCATTTTCCTCTCCTTTCCTGTGATAATAAAGGGCTCCCTCTCCCCTTGTCGCTGCTCTCCATTTGTGGGCATTGCCAAAGAGCAGAGATCTGTGTGTCTCAGAGCAGCTATCATATCACAAAGGATCCGAAGCTAGCAAAAAAGGCGCTAAAAATAGCCTGCAGCAGCACACTATATATGGAAGGAAAAGCAAAACAGCCCAAATGGAGTGCAAGGTCTGGATCCTGGGGGATGGGACATCCCAGCCAGGGCTTTGTCCTTTATTCTGCTTGGGAGGGAAAATACGTAGACCTGGGGGATACAGGATGATGAGCAAGAAACTGGCACTTGGCGTGTATGCTCTCCTAAGTGAAGTCTCCCCAGGAAATTAGGAAAACTCTCCTGGTTGAAAACAGGGCCAATGAATATTCCAAGAGACTTAGCCAAGAAGCTAAGAAAAGAAAGGCAGATCCAAAAGCTTGTACAGGGGGAAGCTCCTACTCCGACTGCTTTAGCCCACTATGTAACAAAGTGAAGAACATGTGTAGGAAAATCTGCCTGGGTATGTGTGCGTCAGTGAGCGATTGTGGAAAGGGATCTGTGTCAGAGACTGCACCGAGAAATCTCACTGCTATATATAAATGTGCACAGAGAAGCATGGGCCGGTCAGTGGGCAAGACAGGGTGCCTGAATGAATGAACAAACATATCTGCACATCCAGATCAGCTTCTGACACCCATCAGTGTGACAGACACCAGCTTTGTGACCCCTCAGTGTGCCTCCCAGGTGGAGCAGGGAGGAGGCACACCGGGGCAAGACTGAGCACCTTAGTCCTGTTTTTCCCAGGGGAGGCTGGAAAAGAAACTCCATCTTGTTGCAAAGCATGAGGCTTGAACAACATTGACTGAGTCTCTGTGAACTTCTGCCTGATGCACAACAAGCCTTCATGTCAGCCTGGAGGGACACAAAGGTGGCCAGGATTTGGCAAGAGACCACAAGAGGCACTGGTGGAAGACGTGGGCACCAGCTGAACCCCCAGAAGTGGACAATGTGTGCACACACCAGGACCCTGGGAAGCAGGAACCCTTCTCATCCCCATATAATTAGGATCACTTTTCCCACTGACCAAGAAAGCCTGTTAGATGTGGGATTGGGTTTTCTGTGTGGCTCCTGCTTTTCACACAAGTTTCCAGCTGAGGCAAGTATGGGCTCAGTTTTAAACACTGCTCAGCACTGTCAGCCCTGTACCCTCTATTCTCATAGGGAGCAAGTGGTGCTCAGAATCTTCAAATCAAGGCTTCTGTGATGACTCCCCCAAAGCCACTTTGACTGGGAGGGCAGACCTGTATTCCTCTCACCTGACTCCTGCAACCCCCCAACTCCCACAAAAAAATTCCTCCTTTTTGACAGAGGAAATTCCAAATCTCACTGGAATAGGTTTAGCTCACACTCAGTAATGTCAGGTGTTGAGAGGACTTGGTGATGAACAGCTGAAAATTCATTTCCTGAACACTGACAGAAAAAGTAAAGGAAAATAACTTTGTCCTTCCCAAGGCAAGCGATGTTTCTTGTGCTTTCAGGGAAATGTTGCAAATGACATTTATAACAAGGTTCTCGAAACAGACGCTCAAGACACAGCAGCACGTCTGTTTGCAAGTCAAATCCCGCGTGGTCCTGTATGTAAACTGGACGCCTCATGTGCCATTACCTGCCTTAGACATAAATGAGGCTCCAGCTACCCCTCCTTCCCAAACAGTTACCCATTTTTGCATAATCCTTTGACAATACAGCCCTGCAAAGGTATTTTACTTAAATCTCTTCCCCCAGTGAGAAACCTCAGCCTCTTCATTTTCTCTAGTTTGCGAACATTTTTTTTTTACATTTAAGTTCCCCTCCTTTTAGTTTTCATAGCAAATAAAAGCTGCAAATGGTGAGGTGGGGTGGAGTGGTGTGAATTAAAACAAACTAAACCAGAGTCCAGGCACAATCACCTTGTGTCTGGGAACGACAAGGGCTTTCCTATCAAAGGAAACTGAAGGTCACACTTTCCCTCATTGATCTTGCAATGTTTGTTAATTACTCTGTCACTGATGTGGCGAAGGATAATTAAACAGCTCTGTTTATATCTTATATGCATAATTATGTGCGCTGCCACTGAACTCGTGAAGACTAGAGAATGTGCCTCTCCAGAAGGGGAACGGACAGACGGAGATGAGTTTCAGCTGCATTATTAACAGGAGGAGGAAAACATGCGCACACACAAAAGGAGGAAAGTTTGATGGATTCACAAAGTGCTGAGATCAGGGGAGGGGTGCGTGCAGGTGGAGCAGATTAGGGGAAGATCTTTCAATTACAGATCGAGCCCAGCTGAGTGACAAATGGGGAGGGAGCTGCTCTGCCCTAACGGAGAGAATTCAATTCACCCAAAGCTTTTATCAAGGCTTAGCACTCATACACCCCCTCAAATCAATCTGGGGGAAACCTGGGTATCAGAAAGGGATCAAGAAAGTCATCTGAGGCTTTCCCCAACATCTCTTGTTGAACTCAGCTTTTGAATGAACCACAAAAATGAAGCAGAAGCAATGTGAAAATAAGAAACACAGCCAGAGGAAAAACACACGAGATGGTGGGGGAAACTTTGGTTTGGGAGCGGCATTTTCACCAGCTCCATCCGGAGCTCAGGGTGGGCAAAGCTCGAGGACTGGGCCCTTCGTGAGGGGAGGCAACACCACCACACGAGCATCCCCTCAGCCCCTCCGCCCGGCCGAGCAGCAAGAAGGGATCGCGACATTCAGTGCGGGGTGGCTCTCTAGGGACCATCCAGCTTTGCCCTGGCTCTGTTCCACCTCCCGCAGGCTTCCCCTGATCCGGTCCAGTCCCTGGAGGAACATCTCGGTGGCCATTCCTTCCAGAACCTTCATCCCGGCCACTGCTCCCGTCCTGCCCGGCCCGGTTCCGCTGAGGCGGGGGGCCACCCGTCCGTCCCCGGGGGCCGCCCGCCCTTCCCCGGGGGCCGCCCGCCCTTCCCCGGGGGCCGCCCGTCCCCGGGGGCCGCCCGTCCGTCCCCGGGGGCCGCCCGACCCCGCTCCGTCCCCGGGGGCCGCCTGCCCTTCCCCGGGGGCCGCCCGTCCGTCCCCGGGGGCCGCCTGCCCTTCCCCGGGGGCCGCCCGTCCGTCCCCGGGGGCCGCCCGACCCCGCGGGCCGCCCTCTGCTCACCCGAGGGCCCGCAGGCCGGGGCTCGGCATCGGGCCTCGGGAGCTGCGGAAGAGGCAGCCCTGTCAGCGTTCCTGACCCTCTCCCAGCTCGTCCTGGGCCTTCCACGGCCAGTAATTACTGATCAAGGTGCCACGCGTGGCCATGAGGGTGGTTAGGTAACTCAGCCAGCCCGCGTGTGGACACCCTGCAGGATGCACCTGGGATTTGTCACAAGACAAATCTCTGCTTCTCTTTGCTTTCGTGGGAATACAAGAGCAGGAAACCAGCACCCACCACAGCTATGGCCATCTGAGTGGTGTGAAGGAGTCTGGAGGGTGAGATTTGCCCTACCCAGGGATTTGTGGCCTGGAAAGAACTATCCAGCCACGTCCACCCTCACACCACCCTTCTTGGGAAGGGCGGCTGAGCCAGAGGCAAACTCCGTGTGGTCCCAAGAGCAAAATGACAGGCCCGGGCGAAGGGCTCTTACCCTTCCCCTTGGCTGCCAGGTGCTGCAGGACCTGGCATGGACACAGAAAATCTAACTCTGAAGCTGCCCTGTGTCAGGAAATGGAGGGGACAGAGGGCTTACCTGAGGTGGTTCCTGCGCCCAGCTTGGAGCCTGGTTCGCCACTGGAGGACCGGTAGGCATCGTCCTTTGCTGGCCCATCTGAATCCCTGTCGTCCAAGAAGGTGCCATCCTGTGAGCCCCTCAGAGCGTCTGCCTCGTCCCCGTTATCTTCCTCGTCGCTGCAGCCCTTGGGCTGCACCATGTAAACCCCTTCAGGGGGCACCTCTGTGCTCTCGGTGCCCTTGCACTCCTTGCCCTCTGCTCGCCCCAGCAAGGGCTCCTCATTGTACTCCCCATTCACCCACTTCTCGATCACCTCCCTCCTTTTGTCCTCCTCGATCTTCTGCACGCAGCTGAGTCCATCTGAAAACTCTGTCCCCAGCTCTTTGGTCCCAGGCTGGGGCAGGTCCTTGTTGCTGCTCTCCTGCTGTGGCCCCTTGTCCGCACGTGCCTGCTCAGCTCCCCCGTGGTCGAAGACGACTTGGCGGCTCAGCTTGGCACAGATGGCATTTAGCTTCAGGCCGCCTTTGCGCTTGGCAGCCATTGCGGGTTTTCCTGAGGCTGCGTCAGTGCATATAGTTCTTTCAGCTAGGAGGAGACAGGAGAGAAGCAAGGAAGGGCATTAGTGGGATCAGACAACATGAACCCAAACAGCTAAAGGATGGTGCCAACCCACTGGGCTTTCAGGCATGGCCAGTTTCATGGCCACCTTTGGAAAGGTGGAGCTACTATGCGCTTCCTAAGCTCTGAGTGGGAGCCCAACCAGAAGAGCTCGGTGAGAAGAATCCTCTGAATCTGCTGGGACCAAAATATGCCACTGGCCATAAAGTGGCACTTATTTGTTCTGGGACAGAACTGGGCTTGAAAGACCCCAAACATCCCAGGCAGGTGAGCGTGGCACCAACCTTTGCTCCTGGCTAAGGCAGGATAGGAGTTTGTTAAAAGCCCGGACTGCCCTCTCCTTCAGACTGCAGCACCACCTTCTTTAGGTCCCTAGCTCTGTCCCAGATGTAGTGGGTGCCAAAACCACACCAGCCAGTGACTGCACCCAAGCATTTCTAGCAAGGACAACAGCTTTCCAAGCCTAACCCTATGGACAGTGAGGAATTCACCTAGAAGAGTTTGTGCATAGTCTCAGAGAAGAGAACCAGTATGCACCTAAAAGAACCAGTATGGAGGACAGAAGCCCTGGCAAAGTGTGTGTGCTGGCGCACCAGAACTAGACTGGTGTGTCACAGTAGTATGGAGAAAATTGCTGTGGGCTGGTACTGGCTGATCAGGCCCCTTTGCCTGCTCACTCTCGCACACAGGAAATTCTGCTCTCATACTTCCCAGCACAATCAGCTAATTAGTGTGAGTTTGTTATTTTAATGTAGTTTATTCATATGTGACAGCTAGTAAAGGAGGGGTGAGAGAAGGTGGGGGGAGAGAGGAAGAAGGTAAGGTCTTAACTTCAAGGTCATGGAGAATCTTGAACTAAATGGTCTCTATCAGAGTCACTTGCATAATTATTGCACCAACAATTAACAAGGTTCAATCCCAAGTAAAAGCAAAATAAATATTCTAAAGCAGTTGCATTGTCTCATTTCTCTCTTTATTTCTGATACCTCTGAGAGATGCCCAGACTAAGCAGGGTTAAAGGACGGAAGGCTGCAACGGGCACACAGCCTGGCTCTTCTCCCAGAGCACAGCCAAGGCAGACCCTGCCCTGCATTCCAGGGCTCAGGAAGAGCATCAATAAAACACTTGCTGGTCACACACGCCACTAGAGTTACTGTGGGGATATGGCTGGAGGTGGAGGTCCCTCCAAAATGGGGTCTTGGATTTCACATTGTGCTGAAAGAGGGGCCAGTCACATGTAGAGCGAACAGAACATGTCTCCAGACCTCAGATGACGAGAACGGGTTCCTCTACTGCACAGGACTCCCTCGTGGCAGCTCAGCTCACACCTCCCTGTCACCAGCACAGAGGTGCTGCTCCACAGAAGCACAGTGAGATTAATCAGACCCCCTACAATGCACCCAGAAGCCACTGTGACAGCCCCTAATCCCGTAACATGACAGCCCAATACAAACAGACTGAAACTTTAGACCTGCTGTCCAACAGCCAGAGAGTGGCTGCTTAGCGTAAACTCCTGACAGCTTCAGACACGCTTCCCTGTCAAGGACTGCAAGAAAAATAACCCCCCGACAAATATATCAGCCCCCCACACAAAGGGAGGCAAAATGTACTCCTCCACTTTCCAAACGCACCCCCCGGCACTAACACCTACGTGCAATCATGCTTTCACGAAGGGAAAGCACACGATGCTCCCAAACACGTACCTCCCCATCTAGAAATTACAGCTGTTCAAAGAGCTGTGTGTATGCGCTGGCACACTCCGTAAACACAGTCCTACATGTACAGGTTAAGAAGTCCCATCTCCCCAAAATACATTCCTGTGCCTTCCCCCACGCATTCCTTTTTTCACACATTCCCCAACACAAGCCTGCAGCCCTCGCACATACAGATGGGCACAGGCAGATGCCCATAAAGCTGCAAGTCTTTATTTGCTGGCACCTTCCCTTCCAATTCATTCCCACTATTTAGGGCACAAAGTGAAGGCTGATCCTATGTCCAACTGGTACCACAGAGGGAATCTCAGGAGGCTGCTGTGAGCTCCAAGTGGAGCCTGGCCAGGACACCTACAGCTGATGCCTGTGGGCTCAGGCCAAGGGCCAGGAGAACCCCGCTGGCTGCAGGTGGCTGGGACGGAGCCTCCATGCGGTGACTTCCCGGGGCCAGGGCACTGGGTCAGCATGGAACCACCAGCCTCTGTCCCAAACACTGCCTGGTGATTCCCTGTCCGTGTTCTCATGATAGCCAGCCCTGCTTAACTGGTGAGATCAGCACCGCTCGCAGCTGGAGATAACTGGGAGGCAGACATTCGGCAGCCCAAATCCTCACTGCCCTACCCCTTTCTGCCAGGAAGGCAGATCCCATTATTCTGGTCTGGAGGTGAGCAGCCAAGTGTGTGCACCAGCTGGCAAATGAATATATAAATATTTATTCAAAGGAAAAGAGGAACAGACGTTCCTGAGGCTGCACTTGCCGCGTACGCAGCAATTCCAGGGAGCCTGCAACTTGTCTTCCATTCCTGCTCTGCCTCCTTCCATCTCACACACCCTGGCTTTGCCCCTCTACCTCTCCAGCTTCTGCCCCCCAGCTCCTGCCCTGCCCCTTGGCATCTTTCCTTTCCCTTATTTTGTTTGGGATCTTTTCTCTTTAACATTTTGAGAATCTTTTCCTAAAGTTTAAGCTAAAAATAAAGCAAGTTCTGAAAACATGGCACTTCCCTAATCTACAGAATTAACCCTTCCAGAGACCTTCCTGGAATGGGATTTGCTCTGAAATACCAGGGCTCTATATCTCACCTATTCCAATACAGGTGGAAATCAGAACTTCCAGCTTCTCCTCCCAACCTTGCAACCACCTCTCTCCAAGTCTGGACACATTTTATCTTTTCATTCCCTTACTTCCTTGTCTGTGGAATGGGAGGGACATTCCTGTTTCCTTCTTTTAGGCTGTCAAGTCCACGAGCAGAAGGGAAACCCTTACAGAGAAATGCTGACCATGAGCCTGAGGTGGAGGAGACCAGAGCACCTGTGTTTCATTCTCTCAGGCGGAGGGAGAGAGGCTGAGCTGCTGGATGAGGGATCTTTGTATCTGCCCAAGGTCGGGACTGCCAGATCCCAGAAGCCAGGCAGAGGCACCCTGCCCCCAGGCCAAGCTCCCCACCCCAAATCACTGTTTAAAGATTCCAGGCTAAGTAAACATCCCCCTTCATTTTCTTCGTCTAAATAGAAATGTTTTGATTTCACATCAATCTAAGGAAGCCATTTATAACCTGATCCTGTCACACGGACTTTTCATCTCTGCCCGGGACAAACTCTCCCACAAGCTCTATTTACACTGAGCACTTCCTCTGAAAACAATGCCACCGGGAGTTTACTCCTCTTTCCCCCTCTCCACACCCTTCGAGGAGACACAGGCTCTTCCCCCCTCTGTACCCATCGCTGTGGCATCTTGATGGCAATCCTCTCTTTGAAGGAAAGGTACATCTTGCTGCGACCAGGGCTGGCAGAGAGGTGGACACAGCTCACCTCGCCATTTCGCTACCGTGTCAGCCCAGGCTGCTGCCCCTGCTTCAGCCCCTGCCCTGGCTCCCCCTGTGCTGCCAGCACCTCACATGCAGACCCTGGCTCTCTCCTTCCCTGCAGCCCTGCAACAGCACCGGCTCACCCATCACCTCCACAGTGCAGTGCTGCAAGCCGGGCACGGCTTAGCCCTGCCTCCCCCGAGGGACAAAACGGGCTGTGGGGGACACACGGTGTGCAGAACAGAAGGATCTGCAGCCTGGACAGAAACGGGCCATCCCAGCCAAGGGGCAAACTGCTACACAGATAAGTCCAGCCTTGCAGAGAGAGGAGGAGAGAGCCCAAGCCTGGCTTTAGCATGGGGTTAATGAAAACACACCCTGGCAGAGAGGAGGAAGGGTCCCAGCTGGAAAAAAGGGCGCACGGGAGCTGGATAAACCAGCTGGCATGGGTGGAGGGTAACAGCAGGAGCTTACTGCTGTGGGAAGAGGCAGGGTGCAGGGCAGACCCCTGCCCCTGGGGCAGGAGGGCCCGCTCTGGGGGGAGAGGGTGCTGGCTGGGGAGGGACAGCGTTGTCACTTCAGAAGGCCGGGTACGTCGAACAGATGGAGCTTTCATATTCCTATTGAAGAGTTTTAAGCCCAGCTGAGCAGCTCCGTTCAGGAGGGAGGTCCCACTGCCAGCTTTCCAGGAGCTGCAAGCTCTCATTCGATTAATTATTAACAGCATTATTTGGGGCGGGGAGGGGGAAGAAAGGAGGGCTGACATGCATGCACAGTCCTTTTCTTTTTTAACCACTGTGGTGCAAACTTGACTGGAGAGACTCCAGTCTGCCCAGCAGTCCCAAACAGGGAGGGCAGCATGGCTCGCTGGGGTGGGAGGTGAGGATGCTGCACACTGGAGCCTCTTCACACTTGAGCTGCAGTCCCTAAAATGGAGCCAAACCTTCACAGCAGAAGGCCAGTGGAGCATTGGGAACATGCTTCTCAGGAGCAATGCCCTGGCACTACCCAGCCACATGCTGGGAGGAGGCAGGGAAGGCAGCCAAGTGCTCAGCCCCTACCAGAAAACGCTTTTCTTCCAGCATGAAGACCTGTGTATTATCCCAGGCAGGGCCAGGGCAAAGGCAGAACATCCCAGGCATGGCCCACAATGTCTGAGAGTGGATTTAGTGCGTATTCTCCCCTCTTCAGTTTATCAATAAAACATTTTATTGCTTTTAGCCCAGGAAATGACCTTGGATTAGTGGATGCTGTCTGTTCTGGCTGACCTTGGGGAGTTCACAAAGGCTCTTTAACAACGTCCTCTGCCCTGGAAGCATGGATCCTGCCTGTGTGTGTCTGCAAGGAGCTGGGGAAAGCCCTCGGTGCGAGAGTCAGACGTGACAGGCTCCAGCTCAGCACTGGGCAGGCAGGAGAAGGAGAATCAAAGACGTGGGAGGAGAAACGAAGT